TGTGCCACGCGACTCACAAACACTGCGCACCACTCCATCCTCGAGTGAATGCCGCTTACCCTCCTGCAGCAGGCGGCTGGGCCGGACCGGGGGGACGCGGAACTGCCGAGCCCGCCAGCCGGGCCGCGGCGGCCGCGCCACCTCCCGGTCCGACAGCCAGGTGACGGCCTCGTAGTTATCTCCGCGTAGCAGGGCCGCAGCTTCGGCGCTGTGCACCGCCACCTCCTCGAAGTGCTGCAGCCCGCCCGAGTGGTCGAAGTGGACGTGTGTAGCCACGGCCAGCAGCGGTCGCGGCTCGGCCGCGTCCGCCGGGGCCAGCAGCCCTGCGGCGCGCAGGTAGTCGGGAAGGCTGCGCAGCCCCAGACCCGCGTCTATCACCACGTCCCGCTGCGAGCCCCGCACCAGCCAGATGTTGGCCCTGTTTCCCGACTCGTAGAAGCGCTCTTGGATCCAGAAGATGCCGCCGCCCAGGGGCTTGTGCGCAAACCACTCCAGCGCCGCCATGGTCCCGCCGGCGGCTCACCTCACCGCGGCGGGGCGGGGTAGCGCCGGGCCCGGCCCACTGCGGCACCCGCGGGCGGAGAGCGGCGGGGAGGAAGGCCTGAGGGGGACCTGCGAGAGGTCGGAAGAGGTGAAACCGCCTCTTCTGGCGTGACAGGGCCGGGCGGAGGCGGCTGAGACGCGTCTGCGACGGGGGAAACAGAGGCATGAGGCGCGGGGGACCGACAGCGCGGGATGAGGGAGCCGGCCGGGCGAGGGAGGAGCCGGCCGGGTGTATCCGCACACGACATCGGCCGGTGATAAGTGCTTTCATCCGGTAAATAACGCCTTCTTTTAGCACTTTCATCAATAACTGGCACAGGTTGCCCAGAGAAGCTGTGGCTGCCCCACCCCTGGCAGCGTTCAAGGCCAGGTTGGACGGGGCTTGGAGCAACCTGGTCTACTGGAAGGTGTCCCTGCCTGTGACAGGGGACTGGAACTGGATGAGCTTTAAGGTCCCTTCCAACACAAACCAGTCTGGGATTCTGTAATTTTACCTTGAGGGTCATTAGGTGAAAAGAAAAAAAAAACAGAAAGAAAAGAACAACAACAAAAAAAAAAACAACAAACACATCCCCCCCCCCCCAATCTTTGTATTTCAGTCCTTTCTCCTTTATATGCTCTTCCCTTCCACCAGCTGCACTTGTTTCTGAAAATCAAGGATCCAAACACTATTGAAACTTTTGCTCTGAGAAAAATAAGGAGAGCTCATCCCGGCACTAAGTCTCCTCGCACCGGCTGCCATGCCACTGGCTGCTTTTCATTCCCTGCTGACTGCCTGAGCCACAGCGTACGTAGTTTTGAACAAAATTTAAAAGCTTAAACCTGAAATTCTCCTCATTTGTAGAGTGACACGCACATCATCCACAGGCACAAAAATGGGCCCAGCCATTCCATTCAGCATCCCTTGTGGTAGCCAAAATGCTAGTCATTGTGGTAACTTTGTCATGCTTGGTGACTTAGTTCTACAGCTCAGCGTTTCCTTCATTATTTCTTCAGTCATCCGTCAGTGTCACTTCATGGTGTCCTTAGACATAAACCTAAGCTGGTATGCTTGAAAATGCCACAATTCTCACTAAAAATGTGGAGTTGAAATACCTCTACTTTGAAATTTGTTACTTCTCATCACACTAATATGCTGTTGTTTCAAGACAGTCTTACTGAAAATTAATTTTAGAGCAGCTTTTAAGAAATGGACCTGTACATTCACCGTAATAATGCAAACAGTGTGCCTCTCCTTGCTAGCTGGACATTTCCCTTACCTTTTTTTATATTTCTGTTTTCTGTTGTTCACTCCCTTTTTTTTTCACACATGGATAATGTAATTGCTTGTGTTTGGGGTTTTACTATATCTTTTATATTTCTCCTTTTTGTCAGGCTCACATCTTGCTTTTCATTCTCTCTTCAACTGAGTTTGCTATTTCTTTTTAATTTCCAGGTAATTAAATGCTCAGACTTTGCTTGTGCTTTGTTGTCATTCTTAAAATGATTTATTTAGGTCTGTCTTTATTTTTAGACAGTCTTATATGCTGCTGAGTGATGTGGAAATATGTAATGTAATTTCCAAGCAGAGCTTATTTGCGTTGAAAATCATAAGTAAGACAGTACTTGCATCAATCAGTTTCTCAATGGCATTTGATAATAAAGGCCATTGCTTCCATCTGGAAAACCTTAAAAGATCTTAAGTATGCATTTCTTTGCTTCTAATAATAACTCTTGTCCACATTTCTTGTTATTCTAGACAAGCATATGAGAAACTGTAGGTATTGTGCTGTTTCTTGTTTCCTGTTTGAACTTGTTATCTCACCTGCCCACTAATGGTGGGAATAGATTTGATAATACAGGGAATAGATTTTGATAATACAGCAGTAAGCCTAGAACAGACTCACTCTTACCAACAGGGTACAAAATAGTAACCTTGCAGTTAATGGTTGTCGTGGTTTAAACCCAGTCAGGTAATTCGTTCGCTCACTTCCCCCCCTTTCTTGCCCTCCCCCTGCTCCCGGAGGGACGGAGAGGAGAATCGAAAAGAATGCAACTCCCACGGGTTGAGATAAGAACAGTTTAGTAACTAAGGTATAACACAAATCACTACTGCTACCACCAATGATAATAATGATAAAGGAAATAACAAGGGAAGAGAATACATCATCTCACCACCAGCCGACCAATAACTCGCCCCCCCAGCCCGACCAAGCTCTGACCGATACCTCCTCCAACCCCGCAGTCTCCCAGCCCTTCTGGCTAACTCCCAGTTACCTCCTGGGCATGACGTGCTGTGGTATGGAATACCTCTTTGGTCAGTTTGGGTCAGGTGTCCTGTCTCTGCTTCCTCCTGGCTTCCCCTCCTCCCTGGCAGAGCATGAGGCTCACAAAGTCCTTGGCCAAACCAAAACATCCTTGTTATCAGCTCTGTTCCCGAGCTGAAAGTCAAAACACTGCACTACACCAGCTACCAAGGAGGAGAAAAATGACTGCTACTGCTGAACCCAGGACAGGTAAACAGCACATAGGCAAAATCTTGGAGCAGATTCTCCTGGAAGGCATGCTAAGGCACATGAAAAACAACAAGGTGCTTGGTGACAGCCAGCACGGCTTCGCGAAGGGAAAATCCTGCCTGACCAGTTTGGTGGCCTTCTATGATGGGGCTACGGAACTGATGGAGAAGGGTAGAGCAGTTGACGTCATCTACCTGGACTTGTGCAGTGCGTTCAACACTGTCCCACACGACATCCTTGTCTCTAAATTGGAGAGACATCAATTTGATGGATGGACCACTCGGTGGATAAAGAACTGGCTGGATGGCCGCACACAAAGAGTTGTGGTCAATGGCTCAATGTCCAGCTGGAGACCAGTAACGAGTGGTGTCCCTCAGGGATCGGTGTTGGGACTGGTCTTGTTCAACATCTTTGTTGGTGACATGGACAGTGGGATTGAGTGAGCCCTCAGCAAGTTTGCCAATGACACCAAGCTGTGTGGTTCGGTTGATACGCTGGAGGGAAGGAATGCCATCCAGAGGGACCTTGACACGCTTGTGAGGTGGGCTGATGCCAACCTTATGAAGTTTAACCATGCCAAGTGCAAGGTCCTACACCTGGGTTGGAGCAATCCCAGGCACAGCTACAGGTTGGGCAGAGAAGAGATTCAGAGCAGCCCTGGGCAGGACTTGGGGGTGCTGGTCGATGAGAAAATGAACATGACCCAGCTTCCATGTGTGCTCACAGCCCAGAAAGCCAACCATATCCTGGGCTGCACGAAAAGAAGCGTGACCAGCAGGTCAAAGGAGCAGATACTGCCCCTCTACTCTGCTGTCATGAGACCTCACCTGGAGTATTGTGTGCAATTCTGGTGTTCTCAGCATAAAAAGGACATGGAACTGTTGGAACAAGCCCAGGGGAGGCTACAAGGATGATCAGGGGACTGGAGCACCTCCTGTATGAAGACAGGCTGAGGAAGTTGGGGCTGTTCAGCCTGGAGAAGAGAAGGCTGTGTGGAGACCTCATAGCAGCCTTCTAGCATCTGATGGGGGCCTGTAAGGATGTAGGGAAGGGACTCTTCATTAGGGACTGTAGTGATAGGACAAGGGGTAACAGGTTAAAACTTAAACAGCAGAAGTTTAGATTGGATATAAGGAAGAAGTTCTTTACTGTAAGGGTGGTGAGGCACTGGAATGGGTTCCCCGGGGATGTTGTGAATGCTCCATCCCTGGCATTGTTCAAGGCCAGGTTGGGCAGAGCCTTGGGTGAGATGGTTTAGTTTGAGGTGTCCCTGCCCATGGCAGGGAGGTTGGAACTAGATGATCTTAAGGTCCTTTCCAACCCTAACTATTCTATGATTCTATGATTTCTAGACTGGGGCCTCAAATTGGTCTTGCTGTGGTCTTGGGAAGGAGCAGTAGCATACTGCTTCAGCTGGGCTTCTCTTGTGTCCCATTTCTTGACATCTTCCCTGTAAGAAGTGTCGCTCACATTTTGCTTTTCTTGCCAACCTACTGGCCATAAAATCCTGTGATGACAATTGTCCTAACGGTGAAGGTGGCAAGATCTGACTGTAAATGTAGTTTTGTAATCTATGTTCCTTTTGCATCCTTGGTGAAACGCTTCAGTTAGCAATAACTTTCTTTGATCAGCTTGCAGACATACTGGAGTCCTTTGATGCTTTTACATCAAACCTCTTTGCTTTTGGTTTTTTTATCAGTACCCAAAACTAGTTACACACATAGAGGGAGGTTGGAGGGGGGGAATAATCTGAAGGAGGAAGAAGCCATGTGTGACAAACACAAAACGTTTTTTTTGAGGAAAGTTCAGAAACTGCAGAATATATTCACAAGCAGTTCAGGTTCATGGAATCATAGAATGATAGAGTGGTTTGAGTTGGGAGGGACATTAGAAATCACCTAGTTCCAACCCCCTGACTCTGGCATGGGGCAGGGACACCTTCCACCTATATCTGGGTCCTTGAACTTCTGTTGGGTTTTTTTCATCTTCTTTCTCATTCTTCCACCCTCATGGAACTCAAGTCAGTGCATCTAAGGTTTAGAAGAAGAATTTTAAAATCCCTAGGTTAGGATGTAATTTCAGGCACACAGAGGTGGCTACCAGAAATGAGGGGGAGTTGATTTTAGTCATGTACCAGATTTATAGAGGGTGGGAAAAAAAAATTATTTAAAATTATCTTTGGTTTTAAAAGTACTGTATAATATTTATTAGACATTAATGTCATAGGTATACATGCATTTGATACATGTAGCAAAAAGAAATCTTTAAATATCTGTCATATTTTCAGTAACTTCAAATGACAGGGTCAAGTAGAGGAAGAGGATGTTCTGCATTTACATTCAACATTGAGGCCATTGGTTTTGCTAAAGGTGCTGCTCTGCCTGATGTCACATGTCAGCCTCCACCACCCTTCCCTGTAAGTACAGCAAATATCTTTGAGCACGTTCTCTGTGTTCAGGTAAAGAGACACTCTAATGTTTAGGTAATGTAATGAAATACATGAACAAACCTAAGCTCTTTGGGTCAGTTTTGAAGTATTTCATGTAAGCAATCATTTTTCTTACTGTTATTTCTTGTCCCTTTGCTAACTGTCGAATTACATATTTAACTAGATTGCAAGATGTTCATTGATTTGAATCCTCATCATAATTTGATTTTCTGGACATTACAGTAACAGAAACCTGGATATCTGAATTCGTTTGAAATTCAGTTATACTAGCATTTGAAGCTATGAATGGATTTGCTGATTTTAGAAATTTATCATTCATGCAAACTTAAAAGATTTTGATGATTATCTTGTATCTCAATAGCTGCATTTGAAACCAATTTGAAAATAAAGGTATTTTATGCAATTAAGGAAACTTAATTGAATTTTGGCATTTGGGATGCATTTTAAAATTAAAGGGGAAGAAAGAGCATTTTCTGACTGCAGTTTGCTATGCAGGGAAGTTTAGACAATCTCGAGGCAGAAAGTTGTGGTTTTATGTAAGTGAATTTCCCGCCTATGGGAGGATTTGATCAAGGTGCATGAAATTTTTCTCAGTCTCATGTTATGATACAGGACTTGCAAGTCTGACTTATAACTGATGCTGTGCTGAGATGTCTCTGAATAGTTATTTCATCCAAGGTTTGACTTACTGAGCCAGATGTTATGTATACTTAGTCCACCTTCACAGTTACGTGATTTCTTGGGTACTAAGTCTGTTCCTAATGTGAACGTTGCAGTCTGCTTGATAGCACAAGTCAACTGAATTCTGTGTGAACTACAGCTTCTGCAGTTATAGTCAGCAATAATCAGCCCTGTAGGAGAATTATTAGCTTCTACTGTCTTAGACCATGGAGAAGCTGAAGATGCTTTTTTGCTTCTGTGAATCAAGTTTCAGAACTAAGTTAAACTTCTAAAGGGAAGTCTAATGGCGTTAAAAAAAGAAAAAAGAACCCAGTCAACCCAGTGGCATAACTAGGATTGATAAAAACTTCAAGAGTCATGTTTAATAATTGGGCAGTGTCTCAAACTGTATTAGAGCTGTTGACTGACTTACAGTGAAATTAAACAGTGAATTGTCATTGTTACATATTTCTAGTACACATTGAGTTCTTGTGAATTTCCTGTAGATGCAATTAGAAACCCAATTAAGGAGCATCAGCTTACCATCAGCAACATTAGTGATTTAAAACATTGGCAAGACAGCAGATAGCTGCAAGCAATAAATTCCTGTCATAATCCAGCTCTGGGACTTGTGGTAGCACTTTATGCATTGCAACTTACCACTCAGGAATTGACTGCACATCATCTGTGGTGTGAACGAAATGTAATCCGTTCTCTAATTCTGTCTCTGGCTCTAGTGTTCTGTATACTTTTAAAACTGTTTTTGCTTAAATAGCTTTTCCAATTTCAACCTTCATAGTTAAAAAAACAAAACAAACACAAAAAATCCAAACCTTAACAATTAAATTCAACAGACAGAAACTGAACTGCATGAAGGTGAGGGCCTGTGTGCTTCCTGGTTATGTAATGGCACAACCTATTTGCATGACAAGTCATGGAGAGGGTGTCCCTGTTACTTAAAGCAATCATATTTAATGCAGTTAAACCACTGTTTTAGAAGAGGTTAAGGCCAGAACTACTCCAGGGGGGAAGCAATGATTTCTGAGTAAGTTGGGCTGGTGTGTAAAACTGCTTTTGGCAATTAAGAGCTTAACATGACCATGAATGACTATTGCACTGTTAAAGTTTTAATACTTTTTTCTTTTGCTTGGCTTCTTGATGTTTTTTTGATAAAGATACATATTCATAAAAGGTATAAATTTAGTTGTAAACATAGTTGTGCTTGTCAGAATGCAATAAAGTATACTTGTGAAGTAGTATAATGCACAGTTGCACTCTTTTGTGATTAGCTGTGTTTATTGTAGCTTTTATTAGTGTTCCTGCGTATTTTGTGGATATTAAGACCTTATAATTAATAAATATAATTTGTACAGAGTACAGACAATAAGCCAGTGCCTCTGAAAACAGGAGAAGATGAAGATTACATGTTGGCCTTAAAACAAGACCTTAGAGGAACTATGAAAAAAATGCCATATTTTGTGGCAGTAGAAGAAGATTGTGAAGGTTTGTTTGTGTGCTTTTTATTTTTATATACCTACCTTCAGTAGCTGTTATTCTGTGAAGGACAATGTAGTGAAATGTGTGTGGTGAAGATGTATTTTGTACTGATAATGAGGAATAAAGTCGGCAGTTTAAGAGAGAGCTTTATTGCTTTTACTACTGAAGTTGTAGGTCACACACCTACAAGTGCAATTACTGTGTGAAAGAGAGAGGTATGAAACATGTGTTCCATTTGATACACAGTAAGAAACTTTTAGACCAAGTATATGCAGTCTTTTCAATTATATGCCAATACAAGCAAAACAGGCATATGTACGTGTTAAAATACCCCAAAATTTTGCATTGCAGCAAAAAAAATCCGTAGTAAATACTATTTTAATGTGTAAACACATCCTTAAAATAATGTTGTATTTAATAGCTGGACATTTTTAAAGGTACTGATTTTTTTCCCCCTATGTCCATTCAGGAAAGACTGGTAAGTGTTACTGACAAGTCACCTGAAATACAAAGATTGAGATGGATAAATGATTTACTGAGGTTGGCTTCAGAAGCAGAGCTGGATTAGAAGCCAAAGCTTGATCTAACTCTGCTTGACCTAAGAATGTCTTTTGCTGCACATAATTAAAAATTACCCACTTTTTTATTGTTTGATAATGCTATGCTATACTTGACATCCAGTCACACATTATAATACTGTTAAAATCCAAGCTTTCTGGTAGGAAAACCGAGCTAGTGGGGAAAGATTGAGAGCGGGGTAGGAAGACTTTAATGTCTGTCTCCCTTAATGTGGGAATATTGTAAATCTAGCAGCTACAGGAGATTATTACTGTGAGAAGGGCTTCTTTCTATTTGTGGCTTTTGCCTATGGGTGTCATACACCTGAGTGCATGTTTGCATGTTCTGAATGGCAAGGCCTGTCACAGGAAAATAGGAAATACAGCATAGTGGGAAGTGCCGCGTGTTGAACCCTAGTTCCAGTTAGTGCAATACGAAGTCATTAAAAAGCTTTATAAAATGTTTAAGAAATCCAAAATGGCCAAACACTGGATAATCTTTTCTTTTCTATGTTGTGGTGATGTTGAGTAATGAGAGCTGACTTGAACTCTAAATTACACGATTTAATTTTCACACCAAAACCATCAGAATATTTTCTGACTGAATATTCATGATGTCAGTATGATACAGGTTCATTTTCCAATCCCCTCTGAATTCTTGATAGTTTTTGTTCATGAGGTAGGGGCCAATTCTAGAGGTTTTTCAGGCTGCATGCAGGGTTTTTTAATAGGCTTTGAACATAACACTGATTAACACGTTATTGATTGTCCACTTGTTCTTACACTAAAGCACTGATTAAAATGGAGCAGCACTCTGCAGTGCAAGCTGTGAACAGGCTGCTGCCCAGATGTTGTGGCTCACAAAAGGCAGAGTATTTTCTCTGAGCTGCATCTGGAGGCCAGCAGTCAGCAGCAGGAAGCTGTAGTGCAGCACAGGCACAGCCCATGGTGGACCCTGGTGGTGCGGCCAGGTAAGAGCTTGGTTAGGAACAAGGAGAAGAGATCTGATCTTCCTTTCTAGATCCCTATTATGAATTCCAGATTACTCTTTTATCACATCTTCTCTTTCATCTTCTGAGGAAACAAATTTCAGTGTCTTTGGGTTCTCATCTTACTAGAGGCTTGCAGTGCTCTTGATCTTTGTCAGGCTTGAAGTTTGCAGTTTTCAGGCACACAAAAGCAAACTGCTATGCCTGAGAGCTGGTCAGGGTTATTTCCAAGGAGCCAACCACTTTGTGAGAACATATTATCTCTCTTTTCTAGCTCTGCCTCATCTGATGGTTCTTACTGTTCACCTCAAAATCATCTTCTCTTTCTGCGGCCTTCTTTCTGAGACCAAGTGATCGCGCCCTGTAACTGAGTATGCTTCTTAGTAGAGCTGTCTGCTTTGAAGACTTCTACAAAAACTGGCAGTTGCAGGGAAAACAGTTGAATGCTCAGATAATGCTACAGATGTTCTTATTATCTCCCCAAGGGTAGGTTGGTACACTGAGGGAACCTTTCACTGAACCTGCAGTTGTGCAAAAATGCCTTGGCTGAGAGGTGGGATATAATTACATCAGCAGTGGTCTGCAGCTTAAAAAGCTTGCTTTCATCTCAGTCATGGTACGCAGTTGTCTTTGGAACTGCATTATGTAGCAGAAGGGGCCTAGCTTTAAGAAAATCACTTTCTTACCCCAGAGTAGATAATTTTTAGCTGATCTTTCCTGTGATCTGGTTTATAGCCCTTTGCTCCCCTTGTATTTCATGAAAATGTCTGGTAGGACTAAGAGGCAGGAGGGGGACTGTGGGCAGGAGCTCCTTAAATTTGCTTTGCTACAAGAGCAAATGGGTTGTTTTAAACCTTCAGCACAACATCTGTGAGCCAAATGGTCCTTTGCAGTGTGAGAAGGGAAACAATTAGGACATAGCTAGCTAGCTTCCTTTCATTATTCAGGTAGTAAATGAAAGCTATGCCTCATAATACCTGGCAATTTTGATGCTGTAGTGTGACATACAGGGTAGATTTTCATCATTCATTTCAACACTCATTTTGTGAGGAGTAGCCATATTCCATAATAAGTTCCCTGTTTTCCTCACTTCATAACCTATGAATCATATATACTTTTCCTGTAGGTGTATCTGCTATGTCTGGGTGACTATCACCTTGGCAGTGGTTTGGAATTAATACATTAGCCATGAGTGGCCAAAGTCAGTCAGACATATTTTTTTATGATGGCATCAGCAATTAGTTCTTCACTAAGAGCTTCGAGCTGAAACCAAAACTCCTGTTTACTTTCCCTGCAGTTTCCTACAGCATCTGCGAAAGCCACCTACTTTAAATGCCACTTGCAACAGTGTCATTTTAAATGCATGCTCTTTGTTACATAGTTTTAAGTAGGTCTTCTGCTTTCACTTAACTAAGTTTAAAATTGAGCTTCATTTCTAATCTCTTCCTTCTCCCTTCCTTTTCTCTGGTGAGTATGTTAGAAGTTTTTGATTGTAAAGGTCACAGTCTGTATTTCTTCACACTTTTTGTAGCATGCCCACAAAACTATCCCTGTTTGGATAATGAGTTACTAATGCAATCAGAACTAGCAATTCTGCATTAAGTGGATTTTGTGGTTGAGCATTCTAATGTGAGAAGAAAAAATGGGACCAATTTCAAAATACACAAGTTTTGATACTGCTTTTGTCATTAGAGATTGTACAAGAAAGTTTTCTTGCAGTATGAATGGATGTACTGTATAACTACTGTACCATTTACAGTGCATTTCTCAATTTAATTCCTGTGCCTGGAAAGAGGTTAAATGGACTAGAATGTGTTGCTGCTGTTCAGGACATCTCTGTGTTATGCTGCAAAGCTTTGCCATTGCAGAAGTACTGAATGTTTTGGGAGCTAGCTGATCATGATCATTCTGAGAGCTGGGAATTACAGGTACTGTCTGTGATGAGCGCAGTGGTGGTGAATGTTACTGGCTGCTTTTGTAGCAAAGGTTTTATTGTGAAACTCTTGAGAAAAGAGTTAGCATTCAGTTGATTTTTCAACCTAGTTTCCTTGACTGTATCAGCACTTTATGTTTTCGTGCTTTCCAAGGATAGAAGTATCAATTATAATCATTTTGGGTGGTGATGGGTTTGTTGCGGATTTTTTTAGCATGGGATAGTTTTTTGATTGACAGGAGATAGTCCACAAAAGCAATTCAGGGGTTTTGTGTTTTTTGGGGTGCCAGTAAAATCCAGCTCTTGCAAGTACTTAGCTAATGATTAGTCAGTCCTGGGAACTGTAAGAACTGCTCAGAGTAGTAACATTAAACTATTTTTTAAGTGTTTGACAACAGCATCAGAAAGTGTTCAATGTGGAATTAAAAAGTACACTATTTAGTTACAGGAAAATATGAAGGGTTGTGCCTGGGTTGCATTTTATTTAACGGAATTCAATTAACTCTTTCTATTCTTTATAGTAATTGAGAGGTACAGTAAAAAGTACCAGGACAAGGAGCATCCAACATGGACCCCAGGTAATATCTGAGATTACCAAAGGATAACTCTTTATCTATGAAATATTCTGCTCCTTTAAATGTTTAGTTCATTATTTTTCAAGCAAAAATAAACAAGTAATTTATTCCTTGTTGAGGGTTACGTTCTTTGAATGTTTTCAGATCAAGAAGTATTGTTTCCTCAAAAAGAAAAAAAAAAAAGTCTGATCTTATGTGTTTACTCAGTTGAAACAGATGAGCAGCACAAGTGGAATTTTTAGCTCTCGCTCTAGCTTTCCTTCTTCCTTACTTGCCATGCAGATACTAGTTTTGAACTGGGAGCAGACATTGACGTAACTAAAAATAACCCAACCCAATGTCTCAGTCACAGGTAGCTGGGTTTTATAACATCAGATTTCACAACCATATCTGTATAGCTCACTAATGCAGGTTTATAATGGAATGTAAATTGAAGAGCATGTGGGCCACTGGAATGGCTGAACCTTGCCCTCCCTGGGGCAGATGCCCATGATATGAAGTGGGTGAAATGGCAGTACTCAATTTAAACTACAGCCAGAATTCCCTGAAACTGTTGTGTGCTAAAACATTTAGACATGCATGTAAATAGGAGCAACCACAGCAGGGGGCCCTGCCAGTCCTTGGTGGAAGGGGGAGGACTGCTGCTGTAAATCATCATTCATACATATTGAAGCTATTTTCTGAACAGATTGGAGGAGGCTCCCAAGAGAGATGAAGCCAAGGAAGAACAAGAAAGGTATATATTTTTAAGAACCATTTAATATGCACTAGTTGAGTGATAGAAGACATACTGGAGCTGGCTAGGGTTAAAAAATGGTAGAAATGTTAGTCTGAATAATCAGGACTTTTGGCAGATTTTTTTCTAAATATTTTACAAGTCTGCGTGTCTTTTGTAGGTTTTGCTTTGCCTCTGTAAGATGTTTTATTAACTTACTGGAACAGATTTATAATCCTTTCCTGCCTTTTGTATTGATGTACCATATTAACATATAGGACAAGTAACAGTGAAAGATTAAAAAAAAACCCCACAGATCTTTTTGGTTTGAAAATTTATATCTTTAGTCAATACTCACTCTTCTATTCAGTGAATAGCTGGCTGTTCAAATTTTCTTTATATTTTGGGTTTCTCAATTATCTGTTTATGATTTGGTTGACTTTTGCATTTTTTGAAGCCTTTTATATGTGATGTAGGTTGTTTTCTATTTTCCCTGGTTTTACTTTGCTTGTTTTCAGCTTGCTTCTGCAGAATTGTGAACCAGATCCTTCAACAGCAGTTGGAGCTGGTATTGGTTGTACTTACAGGAAAAAAAAACCACCTTTTTTTATTACACAGCATCATACATGTATTTGCTTTTCAAAATGTTTTCTAGCATGCATGACTCTCAATTTTAAGTTCTGTGTAGAAGTATGTTCTCTGTTGATGTGAAATAGCACTTGGCCTCCTGTATCTAGCTGTCTGTTGTATATAATTGTTTACATTCTTGTTCCCTTTCTCCTAGTCCTTCATGTGTCATTTTTCAGTTCAAAGATAAATTAGAAAAGGAAAAGGGAATGTGCAGTAGTCACGCAGACTAGCTCAGCTGGAAGCTTTGTTGCTTTTAAGAGCATCTTTGAGAAGCATGGTTTAAAGGCAGACTGCAAGGTTCAACTGAAAATTAAATACTTATTTGCAAGTTTCAACTGAAAATTAGTACTTATTTGTAAAATCCCTAAAGGTGAAACCAGTACATACCTACTTTTGGTTGGTTTTGTTTGTTTTGGTTTTTAGTAAGAAACTGGACTGGATTTTAGACACAGTAATTGGCTCCCCAAGATCCAATGAAGTCATAAATGCCAGTTTATTATTTCTCGTTACAATATTGTGATTATCATGAACTAAGAAAGAATCACTACACATTGTTGGGGATTTCCGTCTTTCTATTGTGCCAGTTTCTCTATTTGCTCTTAAAAGTACATATTCTTACATAGTTGTAATGGCAAAAATCAGTTGACCACCAGAATTTGATTGGATTAAAGAAAAACCCAAAGGTTCCCCTGAAAACAAAAATCATGGGGGTTTAGGTGGTTTTCTGGGCATCACAGAATCCTAGACTGGGTTGGGTTGGAAGGGACCTTAAAGCTCCTCCAATTCCAACCTTCTGCCACAGGTAGGGACATCTTCCACTACACCAGGTTGCTCAAAGCAACCTAAATTGGGTTACCTGAATACTGATGATACAGAGGCCATAAAAAATCCATGTGACTCAGGAGGTTTGTAAATGGCTAAGCAGTGACACATATGAGATCTATTTTGAGGACAGCCATCTTAGGTGACACTTTATAAGCAAGTGGCACAATGATGAGGGAGTTTAGAATCTGCACCAACATTCAAAGAGACTTCCTACCACCGTTCTCCCTTAGTGTAGTGCAGGAGTGGGTTTGGCATCACTGCACAGTTACATTTACAGGCATAGCTTCCTTTCTGCACACCTCTCCCTTTCCCTTTCTGGTTTCCCTGAATGTTTTAACCTCAGCTCTCGTAGGCCAGCTATATCCATATGTATGGATAATAATCAGACGTAGGCGTTTAAGACCAAGTACTCTGAGAATGGGTATTTGGGAAGATTATATTCCATTGTGCCCCTAAGCTACATGGAAGTAAGGGACCGGTTTTCTTGAAGTTCTACTAATGATGGGCCATTGTCTAATTTTATGATAACACCAGAGACACCCAGCATTTAAGGAAAGTTCTTGCATGTCTGTTTCCATTTCCAGGCTGTTTGTTCTATACACATTGTCTCTAAATGCCTGTAGAGATGTAATTTTGAATCACACTTTCCACTTGTTTTCCTTAAAAACCTGCCTCATTCTGGGTGGTTTTGCTTTGATGCTGTTTCTTTGTTATTACAGAGCAGCTTGACTCCCCCCAGATTTGTGCAGTGCTTTTGTCACATAATCCATTCCTAGGCAAAACCTGAAATGAACTGAATGTTATTTATGAAAAATGCTTTTGACAGAATACAGTTCTCTTCTTAGCAGCTCTTAGTGTTCTGCTTCCTTCAGTATTAGGCCAGATAAAATACATAACCTCATCGGGTTACTCTCTGCCCCAGAAAGGACATCCCTTCCTTTATTTTTCTTTCTGATGCTACTTAGTGCAGTCCAGTGTAGAAACAGGGCAAGTTACATGAGCTATCTTACCCATTGGAAGCTGTGTGGCTATACCAGTTTGGCACTTTACACAGGCACTTCTACCCTTCTGAGAAGAGCTAATCTGTGTGAGGTACAGCCCTGTGTTGTAAGTGTGTAAAATGTTGAATAGGTCATGTAAGGAGAAGTTCTGCAAGAGAGGACAAATACAGTTCCATTGGAGAAACAGGACTTCTCACAGAGCTCTATAAATGCCGTCACATCTCTTGCTCTGAAGCTCTTTGGTTTCTCTCATCTCCTTGGAATTCGGGCAACCTTAGTTTAGGGTGCTGCATTCAGGTAGCTCTTACCTGGAATGCTATTTTTGACCTTCGCTTCACCATATAGTGAAGTAGCATGAAGAGGGTGGATTGGAGAGATTAACTTAATGAAAATCATGTTTATGAATTCAGGTGGAAATACATACTGTGGACTCATTAGATGAAAGCCAGCTGTGGTCCAAAAGCCATCTTGCTGCAGTAACCATGCCTTCTGTGTTAGAGCTAATATACTCCTGCCTGTCTTTTATTATCTGCCTGATGCATCCAGCTCTTATTAATGTGTTGCATGAATTGGTAACGTTATTGAGTTCATTCTCAAAGTGGTGAAAAATAACAATTGATGTTTTGTCCTAGTTACCTAATATATTGTATGTAGGTAAGTGAAAAGTATTTTCTGAAGCTGAACATCATACTTTGGCCAAACCTTTGGTCAACTAACTGTCTAAAGCGAATTTCAGACTGGGCCAGTAGGCATCACTTGCATAAATCAGGCATTTACACATCCGTCAATTATGTAGCTCAAAGCCTGAGGTAATGTTAATAAGGTGACATGGGTTTTCCTTAACATACTCAATATATAGGCTCTTAAGAGGAAGTAAAACAGTGAATTTGTATTCTTCCATATTAAAAGAAAAATAATAGTGATGTGGTTTATTCCAGGAGGTGCAAAACCAAGAAAGGCAAAAAGCTCTGAGCCTAAAAGTAATGTGGATACTTTGAAAAAAAATGAGGTAAGATGTGCATACTCTTTTTAAACTCTACAGTAGAAATTGCTGAAGGAACATGAAACCTTCAGTATGTTTTTTGGTACAACTTAAATAACCAGAGCAGCCTTTTTCTGGCCTTGTCCTGTTACTCTGTCAGACAACTGTTCTGCAATGTGGTAGCACAAGGGAGAGGATAAGGGTAGAACCTGGCCGTGGAGAAGCTGTTTTCTTTGCTTCTGTTTGACTCACAACAACCAGTTGTTCTGCACTGTGTAGTGATGTAGCAGAGTTACTACTAGATCTTCTTGAAGGAAGAATTGGTGCCAGAGCTTTTAAATTTATTGTTTTGGCAATCTACTGATGTTGGAAATTAAACAATTTTGGAAGTTGAGAGAGAAGAAACACACAGAAACTTAGTGACTTAGTTTTGGAGGTGAGTACCCACCATGTGGGAATGGGAAGCTTAAAGGTGAAACAGCCTTGTATTTTTTCTCTTGGTGAACCATCAGTTGTTTGATGCAGACAGATTATCAGAATGTGGTATTGCTTTATCAAGTGTGACATGGCCTTCTACTGTCAATTATTCTAACAGCAACTGGTAAAGGGAAATCATCTCAATTTATTACACGAGACATACTTTTGTAGACTTCAAGTCCGATGGCTAATGCTTGATCAAGTAAGTCCTCGTGGAGTTTTATGCTTCACATTATGTCGTTTTAAATACTGACCAAAAAGCATTTGCACTGCATTGTTGTGCTGGCGGCTCTCTTGCTGTTAACTTGCAGCATAACATTTTGGTAGTGGGGAAGATGTGCTGTTGCTGTAACAATGTTATAAAAGAGAGTGCCTTGTGACAAGAGTTGGAAAAGAAGGATGATGAAGAAGAAAAATCTGAAGATGAGAAAGACAAAACAAAAGACAAAGAAGGTGAAGATGATGAAGATGCAGAAGACTCAGAGGAATATGATGAAGAAGAGCAAGAAGAGGTATAATGTTGATTTTCCTATTTATGCAAAGTCTGGTCCCACTCATTAAGTAGTATGTTGAATGTCAGACAAAGAAAAGCCCTGAGCTTCTCTGAAAAGGAGAGTTGTAGTAAGAGGCATTCCTTTACATTCTTCATCGTATTGTATTGTTGTAGTTCAAGTGGGTATGTTAGACTTGTTACTTCTAAAAAGCTCAGAAAAATGATCTCACAAACAGGAATGTGTCCTGCCACAAATCAATACATAAAATTACTCATTTTCATCACTAAGACTGTGATGCCTCTTGTTTCATAGATATCAGGATTTCATTAGGATGTTTTCCTCTTTCTTTCCCAAGAAAGCAGGAAAGAAAAACAAAATATTACTGTTTCAAAACGTGGGTGCTCAAGCAGTTCCAAGCATGTTTCTGTCATAGATTGTTTCCTCCACATATACAGCAATAGATGTTTTGGGTTTTTTTCATTTTGTTTAGGAAAATGAATACATTTCTTCATATTTTGAAAACGGAGATGACTTTAGTGCTGGCAGTGCTGACAATATGGATGAAGCAACATACTAGCTATTGTTCCTGGGTGGTATCCTGCTCAAGCCATACAATACCTGAAGCAGAATTTTGGAAGTGGGCCAAGTATGAACTGAACTAATGCTTCAGCTCTGTTGGTTTTAAGTATACTCTACAAAAATATGTTGGACAATTGTTTTTGGTTGCACTATACTGTAAAACAGGATATGAGACCCTGTTTTGTTCTTTTGCCAAATGTTTCGCAGACTTTCCCATTCTTAAGGCTTTCTGGAATGCCAACTGATGGATTAAGTGATATGCCGTTTTATTGCCTCTGCACAGAAAAAGAATGTATGCATCTCAATCAAACTTGTGCCTAAGCATTTGCACTAGTCAGTTCTATGCTTCAGCAGTCACGTCATGAAAATAGTAAGTGAAATTCTTGATGACTGCAGCAGAGATCTGGCCTTTATGGACATAAGCTGCTCGTATTTGGCAGCTACTTCTGCAAAGGAATTTATGCAACTTCTGAATTCAGGTGACTAAGAATATTTAATGACTAAGCACTTTAATATAAACTGGCTTGAATGTACCTTTGTAATATGGACAAACAACATGATAAGAGTATTTTGAAGAGCTATTATTCTACTTAAAAAAACTCATTATTTTTTGTATCTTGGTAAAAAAGAGTCTGTAGTACTTAACAATGCGAATAAGGTTTAGGAATAAGCATTAAGTAATAATTAAGGATAATTTAATTTAGAAAGAATATATGGCAGAATTTTAAGTTCAAGAAATTAAAAGACTCCTGGTTTTCACCAGTAGCACACAGATCAGTGACAAGAATGTCAGTCCTTTCTTTGCCTCAGTTTCTTCATCCCTAAAGGTGATACTAACTTTCTTACCTGTTAAGTGAGATGGCTGATGATAGGTACCTATGTAACTGTTAATGCATTTATTTACTTCCTAAAGAAACAAGCTTAACAGACAGCACATCAATACAAAAAAAAAAAACCCAACCAACCCAAACAGAAAACAAACCAACCCCAATAAACAACCCAGAAAGGTAGGAAAAGAATGTGATGAAGTATTTTAGTACATGAGGTTTTAATTAGGAAAACAAAACAAGAATGCTGAGAATAGCAAAACTAGAATGTCTGGAAATACCCATTTTACTTAGCAGCCAGCTGAGGTGTAGAAACAGCTTAGATAATAAGAAAACTTATTCCTGGGGTTAGATACTTGCAGAACACAGTGAGAGAGCATTCTCTGTGTCCTGTTGTCATTTGATGGTTGTCCTGGGTTCAGCAGTAGCATTTAGGTACAAAATATTATTGTTCAGTGCTAATATATTAGTTTTGATCAGGGTTTTTTGTTTTGCTGTTTGGTTTTTCTTTTACTTTCTTAAAACATTCTGTTCCTGATAACCAGTGCTGTTATCAGATCTAATGAAAGAACAGTTTTAAACCAAAACCAATTATTGTATCGGCAAAGGAAGCTACAGAAGTTTTCCTTTTGAGTCCGGTGTTGTGTTAAGCAGTACTTTACCTCACTGCTTACTGGAACACAGTATTGCATTATTATGTGAATACCTGTATGCAGTAAGAATTTGACCATTAAAGTGTAGCATTCAAGCATTCTGCTAAAATACATACCTGATGTAAAGAAAATCCAACGAAAATACTATGCAGGTCACACCCCAGAGGTATACCAATTTTATTTGGAAGTGTTTGTACCTATGCAGACAATCACAGTATCACAGTATGCTAGAGATTGGAAGGGACCTCGAAAGATCATCTAGTCCAATCCCCCTGCCAGAGCAGGAACACCTAGATAGTGTTACACAGGAATGTGTCCAGGCGGGTTTTGAATGTCTCCAGGGAAGGAGACTCCACAACCTCCCTGGGCAGCCTGTTCCAGTGTTCCATCACCCTCACTAAGAACTTTCTTCTCAAGTTTAAGTGGAACCTCTTGTGTTCCAGTTTGGACCCATTACCCCTTGTCCTATCATTGTTTGCCACTGAGTAGAGCCTGGCTCCATCCTCGTGAAACTCCCCCTTTATATATTTATAGACACTTATAAGGTCACCCCTCAGTCTCCTCTTCTCCAAACTATAGAGACCCAGCTCCCTAGGCTTCCTCATAAGGGAGATGCTCCACTCCCTTAATCATCTTTGATGCCCTGCGCTGGAGTCTCTCCAGCAGGTCCCTGTCCTTCTTGAACTGAGGGGCCCAGAACTGGACACAATATTCCAGATGGGGTCTCACCAGGGCAGAGTAGAGGGGAAGGAGGACCTCTCTCGACCTACTAACCACCCCCCTTCTAATACACCCCAGGATGCCATTGGCCTTCTTAGCCACAAGGGCACAGTGTTGGCTCATGGTCATCCTGTCGTCCACTAGGACCCCCAGGTCCCTCTCCCCTACACTGCTCTCTAACAGGTCGTTCCCCAACCTATACTGGAACCTGGGGTTGTTCCTGCCCAGATGCAGGACTCTACACTTTCCCTTGTTATATTTCATCCAGTTATTCCCTGCCCAACTCTCCAGCCTGTCCAGGTCTCGCTGGATGGCAGCACAGCCTTCTGGCGTGTCAGCCACTCCTCCCAGCTTAGTGTCATCAGCAAACTTGCTGATAGTACACTCAATTCCCTCATCTAAATCGTTGATGAATATATTAAATAATACCGGTCCCAGTACTGACCCTTGAGGCACTCCACTAGTTACAGGCCTCCAACTAGGCTCCGCCCCATAGACTACAACTCTCTGGCTTCTCTCCTTCAGCCAGTTCGCAGTCCACCTCACTACCTGATCATCCAGTCCACACTTCCTCAATTTAGCCGTGAGGATGCTGTGGGAGACTGTGCCTATGCAGACAATGTTTAATAATCATACTGCTGCATTGCGTAGCAAACAGACTCTGTTTTCTTTTAACATTACACATGCAAGCATCTGTTTCTTGAGCAGGTGTGACTGTTTCTTGCATGATACACAAAAGAGAGATGAAGATATTGTGAACAAGTTAAGCACGATGAAAATTAAATTTGCCTCTAGCATAACTAGTATCTGCTTCCCTCACATAAGGTCAGACTCCTTGCCTCTCACACAAAGAATGCAAATAGATTGCTTTTGCCAAATGCAGAACTAGAGGATTAGCACCCAAAGAGTATTTGCTGCAGGAGTTAAGTTTGGTCACAAGCTGTAGCTTGCCTGAACAGGTACAAGGTGACACTAGTTCTTCAGGGCCAATGGCGTTCTTCATTCACCGTACTGCTAATGGGGTAATACAGCTCCCTCCCTGCTGTATTGTTCAGAAACATTGCTCTAGCAGAAACTGGGTCCTTCTAAGCCTTTCAAAAGGTGAACTATGGTCACCTCTGTCCTCCAGAGAGAACTAAAAAGTCTCAGGCTGGATCCTTTAGGTCTAGTTCAACAATGGCAAATCAGGCCAGTGCTTACAAACATGCTGTTCTGCAGTGACCTGTGCCAAAGCACTTCTGAAATGAAATGAAATTGTGCCCTTACAGAGGCCTAACACTTGCAGCTGTTTTAATAAGCTGATTTTCCACTTGCTTGGAATTTATTACAAGACCATACTGCTGATAAAACTTAAGACCATTCTTTGGGTCTCGGCAAACTCTGGGTCTGTACAGGCATATAGGCAAATCCTATCTTAACAACATAGCAGAAGAGCATTACTTCTTCATAAAAGAAGGCACTGCTTTCCAAGTGTAGGGAGATCACCACCTAAGAACTCTACTGATTCCTACCTTAATTTTTCATGCCTATTTTTTAATCCTAGTTTCACAGAACTAACAAGTTCTCAGAATTTTATGCAGAAAAGATCCAAGTTCTACAAAGCGTGCACAGGATAAACCATTTAGGCTCCAGTTATAGTGCACTAGATGTGAATACTGTGTGCAACTACTGCCAACAAAATACTTGCTGGCCAAGGACTGGTGGTTTAGGTCACATAAAAAAAACCTAGCCAATACAAATACAAGTAGTGGCCTATACATGCAAAGGTAACAGAGCTAAAAATATATTTTAAGTACCACTTTAACTGCAGTCTGAAATAAAATCTTTATTTTATGTATATTATGTTCTTTTAACGTAGAGGAGCAGAAGTATTTAAAATAAGACTTGTGTCCTCATTCAGGATTACTTTACAAACTTATATTTTCAGCCTTCATAAAAGTCATACAAAAACTATTTGTGACAACATACTCCAAAATATAGCAGATTTAAGTATTTACACTTTACATAATCCAACAGTGCAATATGCACTTAAATTTAAACCACCTTCCTGATCAACAATGTGTTGTAATTAATCTAAAGCACGATTTACTGCTCAGTTGTTTTGTCAGGGGGTTTTGAAACAAGTCAGCTTCTAAAAGACTAACTTAAAAGATTTTAACTTAAATCATACTTAAGTTCCACAAAGAGCAGTTACCCTGTTTATTCAGGGCTGACATGTGATGATGCATTGCCAATTGTACTGTACTTCAGAAAAAGCAGTAAAGATCCCTGCATCCTGCAAAAAAGCCAAGCCAGCTGTTGCTTGTAGATTACCAGTACAGGTAGCCCTGCAGTCCTGGAAAGAGACCTAAACTGTCTCCTCTGATAAAGTTAACTTGCTAAATTAAAAATATTCTACCTAATAGTAAAAACATGCAAAGCTCTTGGTTAGAGTATAAAATAATCCAATAAAACAGCTATCTTTTTGTATTTGTTCAACGGCTGCTTATCCCAAGGTAGGCAGAGGTCCATCACACATAACTCAGTTACAGCAAGCCACAGGCCTGCCAACCCTAAAAAAAAGCCCAAAGCTGAGATAACAGCAGAGAATTAGCTGTACCATCATGGGATGAAAAACAGCAGCTAACAGCCAGTCTTTCTACTTGTGCATCAACAGGATAAAGACCACCTTGACTAAGCCAAATCACAACTGAAGCAAAGTTCACTTCTATACTGATGGCAATTTAATACCCATCAGTCCAGGAATGTGCAGTAAATGAGGCTTATGTTGCATCATCACAATAGCTGATTCCTGGTTTTTGACAATTTTGTAAGAAATGGAAGGATAAAGTATTAAAAATGTTGAGGTTCCACAAACAGAACATAAAGGGAGAGAAGCAACCAAGCTTGTAGCAAAAAACCTGACACATAATGTACCAAATTTCAGTCCTACACAGAAAACTGTCTGTTGTGATGTGCCAGAGTCTTGTGGTCTGCAGTGGAGCAAGCTGCCTTTTATACTTCCAGTCAGAGAAGTCTATCTATCACTTTAACCATCACACGTTACTTCACACTGCAACTTCATGCTGTGTTACCCAGAACTGGTACTTCATGCTCCTGTTAATCAGCACATTATTTTCATGGAAAGAACTCTTACTTTAAAAGACCTTGGAAAACAAGCATTGCATGAAACATGAAGTTCATGCCTGTCTGCAATCCCTCATCTAGTGTGGAAACTATGAGTAGTGTCAGTATCTCCAGAGATACCACTTTTATCAGCAGGTTCAAAAGCCACAGATCATAGTTCACATACCCAACTGTGCTGCACTTTCTTTCAAGCTTTGTCCTGCTTCAGTTTCAATATAACTCAGGACAAGTTATGCTGTTTGCATTCACACACTTGGTGGAAGAATACATGCCCTACTTACCGGGCAACAGAGGCCCCAGGAGCAGAATCGGCATGTGTGTTTACCTTCAAAATTTAAGCTGATAAAGCACTTTGGAATACCTCCAATAATTTGTAAACGTTCACTTTATCTGATTTTTTTATATTGTATATACTTAATCAAGACACTAAAAGAAAAGTTTACAATAGTAGTTTAAAGGACAGTGATTATTTTTCTCTTTCTCAAAGTCCTACTCATCAGTTATCTTGAGCTTTAGTAACAAATGGTACTTTGAACAGGGCAATGGAAATGTTACTCCACAAGACAAATATAACAAAAATATTACAGGCAGCATCACACTTTTTATTTAAAAATATTCTGAGTACACAAGTACCTCCTTCTTTCAGGTTTGTTTTGGTTTCTTAACTCTTGTAGCATTTTCAGATAGGGAAGAAAAAAGAAGAAAACCAAGGTTGCTCATGAAAGCCCAAGTGAAACACTTGAGAACAGAGTTGTTCATGGATACACTACTACATAAAGAACAAGTCTGCAACTACAACTGGTCTACTCTGCTGCAATTAAGTTTCTTGCTAGCAGGCACTAAAACTTGTTTGCAGTTTTCTTAATGTTTGAGGTTCATGGGCATATGACTATTAGCATACTCGGTACCCACCTGACTGCTGTCTAAAGAATCAGTTGGTCCTGAACTGGGATTAGGTGGAGGGGGAGGGGGGAAAAGGCAACCCATTAGCAGAAGAAAATAAAGACTACAGAAGCGGTCACAGCAGGGTGCCACACATCCACACTTTGTCCTGTATGCAGCTGACCAAATGACAAGTGCAGTCCTGTCCAGTCTGTTTTCAGAAGGATACACAGAAGGATGTAAAGGTTCAGCAACTCTGTCAACTGGACTGCACTGAGGCACAGTGTCACACACACACAGAAAACAAACTACTGCCTGCACTGAAAGGTTCTCAAGAATGGGTTGATGACAGGCACCAGATTTGAAGACTTCAGCTTAAGCATTGGCTACTGCCTTTATAGAAGTCACCTTGTAAGATGAAACTTCACCATGGCAATTAATTATGGAATGATTGAGGGTTAAAAAAAAATAATAAAAATAATCTTACTCTGTAAAACAGGACAAAGAGAATGCAATTTTAACTGACGACTGTAAACCTGATATTAAAATGTCAAGTGTCCTATGCAGTCTACAATTAAAGATGTTTAAATGTTAGATATCCCCAAATGCCCATTTTAGGGCTGAAAAACATAACAGTGAGACTCCTCATGTGCTAGTTCAACCTACATTTTTTCACCTCAATAATTAAAAAACATGCCTACCAAAATAGAAAAAAAAAAAAAGTGCAACGCTTCAGAGACAATTTTATACCTTAATTTGTACCCCAATCTGGCATTAAAATTGCCTGTCTTGGGCATATTCAGAGATTACATGACCCAAAGAAATATCCTTGTGCTGGAACACTGCCCATGCAAGCAGGTCATACATCAGCATACGTCTTCTCTCTGGTCCAGATGCACTTTGCATTCTGTGCTTTCCCCTTTATCTAAGGCTACGTTATGTGTCTCTGAGTAACAGTTGCTTCGTGTTTTCTACCGTTAAGGCTGAAGGTCTCCTTGATTATCAACATTTATAATATTCACCTGATTTACTCCATTTTCTATTTGCTTCTGGTGTGATGCTGCTGTGACAAACAGATGGGAAGATTCCATTGTAGAATGGTGACTAATGTCTGCTTTCACTAGAACTTCGTAATACAGGAGGTAAAACACTGGAGTTACTATGCCAATGATTAACATAATCACTACAGCTGTCCACCATCCTATACCCCAATCTGCTCCATAGTAAGGATCCTTGCATTTTTTAGCTTTACCATCAGTTTCGAAGGAGATCTGCTGGGCTGCTAATGCAGAAACAACTTCATCAAGATTCTCTCTCTTCGTATTGTTACACTTCACTATTTCCTCTATATCTCGATCCACTTCTTTTAAGAAGTTGCCAGCGGTCTCATTAGCAGGGCATTTATCAGGAGGTGCCATTTCCTGTGCTTCTACGGAGCAGTAAGCAGGCCGAAGAATCAGTCTTCCTTTTGGAGAGACATGTGTTTCAGTCAAGACACTGAACTTTTTTACTGGAATTTTGACAGATCTCAGGGCAAAAAAATCTTGGTCATTGATAAGATTGTTAACTCTCTTGATATCTGCAACCTAAAAATAAAAACAACAGTTTAAATGTCAAAGCTCCACTGAACTGGAACTGTTCAAAGAGTACTGCATCCTTGAGAAATACTATTTGTCCCTAATGAAACAAAGGCAAGGCCTTTGTTCTGCCTTTTATTCTTAACTGATTCAAACAGTATGAAGTGAGAAAGGGTCAAGGAACAAATCTGAACAATGTCAAAGCAAGAAGGTAATTATGAGGTAACAAACCTCCTCACTTCATGTTAGAAGAATGAAAGCCACTTCACACATACATATTCACTTAATGTGTATTCATATATCAGTGGCAACTACCTTTGTGAAACAGATGAGACTTTACCACAGTGCTTTCAAGTGAAGTAAATTACTGTGAGCTTCTCATTAAATAGAAAACTTAGGAGTAAGGAATATTAAAACCTATGGGTGTCCAGTTCACCTAGCCACAGCTGTGGTTCGGATACTTTCTACTCCTGGGGGTCTAAGGCAGAACACTGAGCATAACTTAAAACTGGCATCTCCCCTTATGAAGTCAGCTCTCCCCTTTCCCTATTCTTGCTCAAAATTCATCTCATTTTGCTCTTGGCAAGTTCAGCTTTTCAGTCTGAAGTGAATACTCTGCAAGGATTTAAGTGCCCTTGGAGAATCAGCACCTTCATTCTGAGACAGTAACTCCCTTAGCATGGAAGACCCAACCACTAACCTTACCATGAGGAAGTACCTAAAGATTGGTAGTTTTCTGCAGCACCTGGTCAGCACACAGGAGTTGTGCCCATGTTAAGCACAGTGCCCGAGTTCAGATTCTTCCTGTCCTCACTTGGAGGACATCTACCTCAGGAAAAATTACAGACAGCAAACAAGGCTGTCAAGAGACCCTTGCTGCTGCAATGGCTCCATGTAAAACAGCTATGTGCCCAGAAATACATTAGACTGATCAGTGCCTGCTGCATGTACTAACCTTGTAGTATGAGAAGTGTTTCAGTTCCTATAATGGTAAATGGGCCAGCATAACATACTGCCAAATACAGGATATACCTCAGTGATTACTGATTCAACCACAAGTTATCCTTCCAGCGTAAAGCCCTGGACTGCTATTTTAAACTCTCCATGAATTTCCAAGACAGAGTCTGACTCTGATTACCTTTTTTTTTCTTACCTGAGGTCTGATCTAGTTAGCCAGCTCAAAATACCTACTTGTACTGCACTCTGAAGCCAAGAACTGGTAGATGAAGCTAAGGCCTCTCATGATTATGAAATAGTTATGTCAAGACATTGGTACTTAAATTCATGACAGGAGGCACCTACTTCTGTCTCCACCTTAAGAAGTAGATGACATGAAGCCTTCTGTAAATATGGATTTTGGATTTGCCCTCTTGATAACTGCACAGCTAGCAGTCAGTTCACCGACACACACAGATGATTCCCTGTCAGAACTGGGTACATGCAAATGTTAACATCAACCAACACAGTAACCTCTGCCTTAATTACTACCGCCCACCCAAAAGTACTGGGTGAGAAGGACACTCACCGTATTAATTTCACAGAATCATATAATAGTTTGTGTTGGGAAGGACCTTAAGATCATCCAATTCCAAACCCCTGTCACAGGCAGGAACACCTTACACTAGACCAGGATGCTCAAAGCCCCGTCCAGCCTGGCCTTGAACACTGCCAGGGATAGGACAGCCACAGCTTCTCTGGGCAACCTGTGCCAGGGCCTCACCACCCTCACAGGGAAGAACTTCTGCCTAAGAGCTCATCTCAATCTCCCCTCTGTCAGGTTAAAGCCATTCCCCCTTGTCCAGTACCTACAAGCCCTTGTCCAAAGCCCCTCTCCAGGTTTCTTGTAGCCCCTTTAGGCACTGGAAGCTGATCTAAGGTCTCCCCTTAAGGAGCCTTCTCTTCTCCAGGCTGAATCCCCCCAGCTCTCAGCCTGCCTCCAGAGCAGAGCTGTTCCAACCCATCGCAGCATCTCTGTGTCCTCCTCTGAACTTGCTGCAACAGCTCCATGTCCCTCTTGTGTTGCTGCCCCCGACCTGGACACAGGACTGCGGGGGGGGTGTGGGGGGGTGGGTGTCTCCCCATACCACAGCAGAGGGGAGAATCCCCTCCCACAACCGGCTAGACACAATTGTTGTGATGCAGCCTAAGACGTGTTAAAGGGGGAAAGTTCAGGTTAAATAAGGAAGAAGTTCTTTACTGTGAGGCACTGGAATGGGTTGCCCAGGGAAGTGGTAAATGCTCCATCCCTGGTAGTATTCAAGGCCAGGTTGGACAGAGCCTTGGGAGACATGGCTTAGTGTGAGACGTCCCTGCCCATGGCAGAGGGTTTGGAAATGATGATCTTAAGGTCCTTTCCAACCCTAATTATTGTATGATTCTATTTAGTGTTTAAGAACTCTTAAATTTAAGACCTCTTAACCAGGAAAAGCGGGAAGGTCTGAGAAGGGAATACTGGGGCATATGGGCAGAGCATTCCCAACAACACAACAGGCTCGAGCTGATAAATATTCAGGCAATTTAGCAGAATTCAGAAGAAAGCTACATGGGGGTTCTTCTTCCCCCCTTCCTTAGTGGAATTCAGTCGCCACACCAGTGCTGAAGGTGTTCAGCAGCACCCTCCTCATCACCGAGTCTCTCAGTGCAAAGCACCCAAGTGTGACTGCGCACCAGCGTAACTTCCACTGCAACACGCGCCAGTTTGAGAAAAACAGCGCCGCAAGCAGAATCGACACACTCGTTTCTTACGCTGCCACCTGCTTTTAGGGATCGCAGCCGGTGCAAACGGGACCCAGCCAGTCAGGAGGTGCGAGCACCGCGCCGCGTCCCACCGCCGCCAGCCGGGTCCCGGCCCACCCCTCACTCCCGGATCACGGCACCAGCGTGGAGCGCCTGGGGACGTACCGAGCAGCAGAACTGAAGCGCGATGGCGTTGAGCGTGTCCCCTTCCTGGATGTCCTTGGTGAGCAGGACTACATCATCCAGCTTGTCCCTCGACGCGCTCCTCCGCACCTTCTCCCTGCCCCGCGGCCGCAGCTCCGACACCTCGCCGGCATCCTCCTCCGGCCCCTCGCTCTCCGCGACCACGAACGGGTACAGGTGACCGCCGGTGGGCTGCTGCGCTACGGCCGGCGCCTGCGGGCCGCACACGGCGCCTCTGCCGGCCATTCTCCCCTGGGGGGCCCAGTGGAACACAACGCAGGTGTGCCTGCCTCCACCGAGATCACTGCACCGCGCCGCCCAGCGCGGGGAGGAGCCGGCACGGGAGTACCTGGCCCAGCCCTCGCTGCACACCTCCGGTCCGTGTCCCGGGGCAGCCGTTCTATTTGCTGGCTCTTCTCATGGCGTCCACAATGGCGGCGAAACAGCCCCGCCACGTCCACACCGTAGAACCGCCTCCTACCGCCCTTAAAGGCCTAGGGCGCCTCTTATTGCTGAGAGATTGGATCTGAGACCTGTAGTGGGCTCTTGGGGGTGTCTCGTGGGGCTTTGCCGAGGGTTGTGGGGCGTTTCTGCACCGCTCTTCCTGTCTCCGCTTGCCGCGACCCTCGCCCAGGTCGCTTCGGGGCCGGCGCTGCCCCGGTGACCGTTTCCGCGCGGGGCTGTGAGGAAATGCGACGGCGGGCCGTGGGCCGCGTGTGACGGGGACCTGCCGGTGGCACAGCGGCCCTGAGGGGGGCCCAGGAGGAGCCCGAGGACCGGGAGGGTGGTCGCCCGAGAGGGTTACTCCTTTGTGAGTGGCCCTGTTTCTGAAGGAGCAGAGGCGGTCTTCTGTTTGGGACGCTGAAAATAATCATTCTGAGAGCCCTTTTAGCTTGTAGCAGTTGGCAGCTGCTCACCAAAGCCTGTGTATCTTTGGTGTGCGGCTCTTCGTACATTACTGCTTGCTGGGAAGTTGCCAGGCAGATTCTTTTTGTCCGTTTATGCATTTCATACAGACTGGGACCTTAAACCTCATCCAGTTTCAGACCCCTGCCATGGCCAGGGACACCTTCCACTAGACGAGGTTGCTCCAAGCCCCATCCAACCTGGCCTTGAGCACTGCCAGGGATGGGGCAGCCACAGCTTCTCTGGGCAACCTGTGCCAGGGCCTCAGCATCCTCACAGGGAAGAACTGCCTAAGAGCTCATCTCAGTCTCCCCCCTGTCAGGTTAAAGCCATTCCCCCTTGTCCTGTCCCTACAGGCCCTTGTCCAAAGCCCCTCTCCAGATTTCCTGTAGTCCCTTTAGGCACTGGCAGGTGCTCTAAGGTCTCCCCTTAAGGGGCCTTCTCCAGGCTGAACCAGCCCAGCTCTCTCAGTCTGTCTCCAGAGCAGAGCTGCTCCAGCCCTTGCAGCAGCTCTCTGATTTCCTCTGAACTTGCTCCAACAGCTCCTTGTCCCTCTTATGCTGGGAGTCCCTCATGTTGTTTTCTCCCTCCTCGGGACTCGTACTGCAGCGATACAGGCATTCAGCCCATGCTGATGTACTTTTTTTTTCCACAAGAGGGAAACCATCAATTAAGGCCTGTAGATATTTCAGCTTCCCTAATAATTTTCACTATCAAAGAACTGGCAGCAGCTGTTGCAGTTGCTAAGGCAATAGTCTGGAATAGGAAACCTTCCTAGTTTGTGTAGTAAATTTAATTATAGTGTGGGTTTCTTCTGACTTGGCCATAGAAGGAGTTTTTTGGTCACAGCAGGAGTAAGTGCAGTGTTTCGTACAAAAGGTTACAGCTCTAAGGTTAGGCTGAATATGTTGTAACAAGTGATTGCGTTGTTGTTGAAGACAAATGCAGTTGAAAGTTTAGTTACTCAACATATTAATCTTTCAAAAAGAAAGTAGTTTAAAATAAGGTGTTGTTTCCCTGTTATTTTTCCTTTTTCTTTCCCCTTATTTTTCCCTTTCCCTTTATTTTTTTGTTTTCCCCTCATTTTCCCTTTTCCCTTCTTTTTCCCTTTCGTGTTTTCAGGCTTTCCTGAATAACCAAAGATGTTAGAAATGCATTTGGTGTTAACAAAGGCAGATTTTTTTTTATGACTTTAGTTTCAAAAACTAAACAACTTGAGTCTAAAGACATAAACATAAGAGCTAATGATCATGTAGCTCTGTTGCGTGTCACACTTCGCACCCACAGAAGCTGGAGAAGCTTGAACCCAATTTGCAGGCACTATGAAATAATCTCTTAAGGTACAGTGTGTTCTTGTGTCTCAGCTTTTTTTAAAGAGTAAGTATATATTTTGCAGTACATACCTTAAAACAGTACTCTATTGTGGATGAGGGGTGGACTGGGTAAAATAAAGTATTCTTAAGGCTCCTTTGCCTGATAAGAAAAGGAATACATTTCCTGTATTATTTTTAACTTCTTTACATAGAAATTCTGTCAAGAGCATTGACGTTCCATGCTGTAAGGAAAAGTTTACATTAAAATATATAAATATTCTCAGATGCAGAAGTCAGCAGTAAAGGTAAAATATGAGCTGGCCACATGAGGCAGGTCCAGTTGCTGCTCTTTGCAGAGAAGCACGTAACAGTACTAATGTAAAAACAGGATTTTCTTCCAGCAGGAAGCTGGGCACAGTTAGTCTAAGATGTTTGTCAGCAAATCTTATTCTACATTTGTTAAAATATTGCTGTAAGTGCCAAGCATAATTAGAATTCACTCAAACTGAAGTTCCTTACAAGTTAGGAGGCTATTTTTAAACTGTTCAGAAGCCTAACTAGGGATGTTCTATTTTCTTTGGAGTATTTCTGAGCACCTTCCCTGCCAAAGCTTGCTCAGAAATAAGCCTTCTATTTTTATCATGGGTCAGATGCACAGCCTGTGCTAATTAACACAGCTGCATGAAAGGCCTTAGATACAGCCTGACACAGAAGCTGCTGCACTACACAGACAATCTGGGGTTGTTGGGTTACATGACAAATGTGTGAACGCACTTGTAGGGGTCCCAGAATAATCTTATGTATGTGAGGGGATGGCAAAATGCAAAGTAGATTGAATCTTCCACAAGCTGCATTTCCAGCAAGAGCTATATTGGACATTACAAAACTGAATTTATTTCCCATAACCCTAAGTTTTCTCATGGGATCCCAAGTTGGTGAGGAGTAATTATAACGAGGTGAATGGGAATTCCAGCTATCAAGAGGTGTCATGCCATATCTGGCAAAGAATATCTGCAGCACCGACCAGTTTTGTTTTGGTTTTTAAAGGGAGCTTTCAGAAGTAGAAGTGAAATGACTGTAGTTGCCTGTAGCTGGGAAACTGATGACTCAGACCCTATTCATGTTGTTGAAAGACTGTTTTATGAGACCTGTCAGAGCTGTGGGTGGACCTGGAGAGGAGTTTGAAGGCAGACTTCATGTGCAGCAATGCCTGCAGCAGTGCCTGATGAGTGTCCCATCATATACCACTAATGGCATATCCTTTTGGAGTTGTTCTTTAATCTTTGGGTGATGAGGCTGCAGAAGAGGTGAGGGCAGGGAATTTCACCATTTCTTTTATCTAAGGAGGTGTACTATCAGGTCTAAAAAGAACTGCTGAAGCAGCACTCTTGCCTTAGATGGGGAAAGAAAGTGCTGGAGTTTGCTTTGACCCTGCTATACCCCTGTGTGTAACCGTTTGTAACTAGTGACATTTTCCCATCAATAACAAAAGGGTATATTCCAAACTTGATGAACAAGACTGGAGCTGCATAGCTCCCATGAATGCTAATAGGAATAAAGCCTTTCTCCATCCTCTTGTAAGTTACTTTGCATATCCTAATAGTGCATTCTCAATGAGCAACAGGGTCAGTGTTAATCACTCCATGGTATTCCAAGAGCAACTTCAGGGATCTCTATCACATTCCTGTTGGTCGTGTTGTATCTAGTGTGGCTTGATCAGAGCTAAGAAGTTAAGCATGCACACAGAAATATTAAAAAGATCTTAAGGAAACAGTGGAAATGTACTGTAAAGGAGATGTTGGAGGCCTGATATAACTTGTTAGTCACTTTTAATAAAATATGCATATTTATATCTCTTTCTGCCTGGAAATTCCATATATGTCATGGGTCACCTTATAAGCCTTTAAATCATTCTATGATTTGGGGCCACAGGGCTAGATTTGCATTTAGATAACCAGTGCCAAGTGTCTAAATGTATACGTTAATTGTTTGAATGACACAATAAGCTATGACTCATTAAAAATATTCACACAGAAATAAATATACAGCTTTTGTCTGTCTCTGATTCCCTGCTTAGTACTGGGGGAAGATACTAAAATTCTAGGAAATGGTAATGTCAAGATAGATCTGCAGCTCCAATGGAGCGCAAACAAAGAGTGAAGTTACTAAGCAGTGCCTAAGTGCAAGATCTGTAAAGTGAAGTTAGAGGAGCTATTTAAGGACAGAAGTATAGAGGAAGCAAGTATTTCCATGTATATATTTAACTATTTGTGTTGTAATCTGGGCCTTGATCCTCAAAACTTGCAGAAACCCCTTTTTAGTTAGCAGAGTTCCAACTATTCCACTTTAAAATGGGTTAGAAATGACCACAGAATTTAATTGTTCAGTTTAGTATTGTCATGGCTTTAATGAGACTAAATGAAAAATTACCTGTGGATACAGACTATTGCTTCCCAGTTTCGTATTTCGTGTATTTGCTGCTACCCTTTGGTTACATAACACAGATTGGTTACATTTTAATTATTTTTACTTAAATCTAATATGTATTCTTAATAGAAACGTGGTGTGTACCTTCCATAACCCAGCCAGTAGGGTGCATTGGTTCTTTGAAACTTAGTTTCCAGCAATCTGTTAAGAGTTGCGTATTTGCTTCTGACTCACATTTTGCTTTTCTCAGTTCAGGCATCCTCTAAGTAAGAAAATCCACCAGTGAAGCCATTCGGTTATGGTAGAGACAGTATGCAAAAATGGAGTGTAGACTCCTGAAACTTTATTTCAGGTTATTCACAGACAGAGTTTGCTGTAAGATTCTGAATTCCTATTCATATACCTGTATTGATGAATATGTTTCTGTAGTGTGGTAACTGATGTTCATTCTTTTTTATAGACTGTCATAGATTCCTTCCAATTTTAGCTGGATGCATCTGTAATTAAGTCCAGGAATAGCTGTTAGTTTTTGATACGTATTCCTTAAGTAAAGTAAAGAACCCCTTCTGTTCTCATCCTCTGTTTTTATCTGTTAGAATTTGTGTGCTGTAATTAAGGCTTTCACTCTTTTTTAATGAATTAAACACTTGAGTTTGTTAACTTTTGCTCTCTGCTTTCTGTTTCTCAGGTTTTGGGAATTTTATTTGCTTCCTTCCACCATGCACTTCAGAGTTGTTTTTAAAATGTGGACATCAGAACTTCATGCAGTTTCAAATATCCACCTGATTAGTGCTGCATACAAAGGTAAATGGTGCCCTCATCCCAGCTACTTGTCACTAATCTACTGTTGATGTATCTAAGGATCACACTAACTCTGTTGTGGGTTTTTTTTGTCCTGGTCACAGCATCACATTGGCCCACTTAAAGAGAGCTGCTTCTCTGCTAGAGTTTCTTCAGATGAGAATGATCCAGAAGATTGTTTGTAAGGTGTAACGTGTATTTTTAGCTTTGAAGGTATTCAGCAGTGTTAAGATGACTTGTTTTAATAGAACTGGCTTACCAGGTGAGCTGTATCACTGTGATAGTGTAATTTCCTTTCTGCTCATATTGACATCACAAAGATCCAGCTGTAATTTCTGTATTTACAAGGAGAGAGTGTTGAAGAGCAGCAGACCTATTTGTAAGCCGTGTTGAACCTACATGATAGAAGTATTTTGATTTGTTTATGATGAAGTCTATATTTTGTTCAGAATATTTTACTGGAGAATGTTTTTTTTTTGAGACCTACCAGCTGGTTTTTAATCCAGTGTTCAACATTGCACTGCTTACGAGCATTGCACTATGTTTTTACCCTGTGGAAATATGATTAAAAGCAAGTCCTCCAACTATTCAGTTCTGTTGCACCAGCACAATTACTGTCCTTTACATTTATAATCTTTCAGAATTGAACCAAATTGCACAGTTTGTAAAAGATCACGTATTTTCTTCCATTAATTTATTTTGCCTCCTTTTAAGTAAAAATCCCACATCAGCCGTTGCATTTATTTGGCTAGGTTTGCTGTCAAGCTGCATGTATAGTCTAAACTTCCTTTTGTATCTTTGGAGTTGATTGTTACAGGTATGTAAAATGTAGTTACTAACCTTGCCATTGTCTTGCCAAGCCAGTGGTTTTCCCTTATGTCTTTAATCTTCCATAATTTATACAGTGTAATTTAAACTGTCTGCTCTCTAGTTCCCTTTTCCATAATCCATGTACTGATTTATTTGTAATTTTGTTTCTGATTGAATTTTTACTGTACTATTGCACAAAGATGGATACTTATTGAATGTTGGGGTTTGTTTTTTTGGTTTTTTTTTTCTTGATTATGGAATATTGGCCTTTTCTTACTCTAATAAACTCTCTTCATTTTGTAAATAGAAAGCTTAAGGATTTTGATGGTTTTTCCCCTCACAGGAAGGAGTTGAATGTTTTGTGATATTTTTTAAACTTTGGGATTTCAGCTGTTGGCCTCATTGTTACTGATAATTTGGCTTTGCTGATGGCACAGCTATGTAGGTGTGTTTGCATCTTCATGGATGCAAGACCTTTCCTTGATTAGAAGCCCAATGGCACATGGGTTTTTACTGTGGCTGTATTCTGTATTGGTACACTGCTACCTACACCCAGAACTGAGAAAATCTTTCACTGGCAAACAGTCCTTTGATGTCATTCCAGCGAGTGTGAAAGTGCCCTTGCACAGGCCCCAATATGCCCATGCTTTCCTGTCAGCTGCAGCCTCTTCTCCCACCCTTGCACTGTTCTTCCCATGTGAAGAGAGGTCTACAGGCAAGTGAGGGAGTTGTCTGAAATACCCTGTAGTTACTTTCATCTTTTGTTTTAAGCTCCTCATGGCTGAAATAGCGGGGTATGCTGAATAGCTTGACAAAAGGGAGACGGAATAGTAGAAGAGAGTGGGGGCAGGAGCAAGGAGACTCTCTCATGGTAGAGGATCTGATGCAGAATCTTGAAAATCTTTAATATAGGAGGTGCATCTTTAATATATGGCATTCACAGCCTGCTATATTGATAAATATTTGAACTGTGTATTTAAGGTGCCCTCAGTTTTCACCAATAATGGCATGTGAGTGTAAATTAAACAGCTGAATTAACAGTCTCTGTTCCTGATAATAGTAATAGTGGTGGTGCTGTAACTGTAAACATCTTGCTATGCTTTATTTCAAATTCTCAATATAAAGTTGATAAGAAAAATCTGTCATGTACTATAGCTAGCTGTAATCTACAATATGTATTTTATCAGTACAGAGTTTAAGAAATGGCTGTGTTTCATAAAAACATACTGGTTTCAGTTGTGCCTTATAATTTTAAGATAAAAGTACTTGTAAAATAAATCATCCCCTTCCACTTTTTTAAGCATTTAAAGTATGATTAAAAATGTCCTGTGTGTGACATAAATAAGAGAGTGGTCAGTAGACACAGAAAGTCTTTTGATGGGAGCATTTTCATTAATTTTAAAACAGATTCACTCCACCCCTGTTTTCTTACAATTTTTGTCTTTTCTGTTTGATTCAGCTTCTATACTGGCAGCAGAATGTGTCAGAAACCTTTCCATTCTTTCAGTGAGTATCAGGCATGTTAATGTAAATACTTTATGAGTAATCTGCATGTCTCTCCATGAGGAGAGATGGTAACGTAGCCCACATGACATTAGTAAAGTGTTTACAAGGTATTAATATGCCTACTATGACAAGATGTATTTAATGGGAGGCAACAAGGAATTTGTTTTATTAGCTTTCCTCCACCCTCAAGTAATAAATCTTAAAAGCTTCAATATTGATTCAATGAAATGAATGGCTGAATCATTCTGTAGAGGCTGTGACAAGTGGACAAATGCTTCCATGGTTACATTCTGCTATGCAGTATGGTTACTGAGCTTTGTTGGTTTCCTCCCTCTGCCATTGAACTAAAATAATAAACCACAGGGAAGCACCACACATCATGGGCATAAACTGGAAACAACTTTGAAAGATCAAGTTAGCTGATCTTAGACAGATTTTAAACAATATGGGTTTTATTGATTTATACTCCGTATCCTAAATGTGCATTTCAGTACTTTCTCCTTTATGTATCACTTTCTCATGGAATGTTTTTATTTCTTATCTGGATCACCTCTTGCTTTTGATTTGCAATGCCATAAATTAAAAGGCTGTGTGAAAGTATGTTTCATAGTAGTGTTACATGGGTTATGTTTAGTATCTTTTATATCAAGCAATGTTACTGCATTTATGCAAGCTTCTTCAGTACCTAGATGATAAATAACAAACCATGTATAGAACTTCTGTGTGTTTTAGGGTGCTTTGCAGTATAATGTAATGAAGTGGTTTGATTTTCCATCTCCTTGCATCCAATATACATGGATTTCAGGGGTCATGGGGAAGAGGGAGATAAGAACATGATGTCACATTTAAAAAAATATAATAGTAATGGCATGAAGTTACTTAATTAGACTAAAAATGTTGAAGATCAAGCATTACATTAAAAGAAGGAAATTGCGAAGGCCTTAGATTTTGTTCAGGACAATGTGTATATGAAATTGATATCGAGAGTAGCTGTGTCTTTTTCCGTTGCAGACCCACTCTGAAGAGAGCATGTGTTATCCTCTGTATTAGCAGCTGTTGGATTGTATTTATTTTTCTCCACGTGCTTGACAGTCCCCAGGATCACTGTCTCAGCATCAGAATGTTAAGATGTTCCAGTGCCCCTTTGTAGACACAGTTTTTCAGGAAGGATGTATGCCAGGATTATCCCTACAGCCAGGAAAACAAATTCCTAAGTGTGGAGGATAGATACTTCTCAGACAGAAATTCAGGCCTTACAGCTTTTCACTGGAAGCTCTCTGTTATTATGAGTACTTAGTTCCGCATTTACGCAGCTAACATCTCTTTGATCTCAAGGAAAAGTAAGCAACAAATGAGTAAGGACTTCAGTGTTTTGGTTAAAGAATTTCAGAAGAGAGTCAACTCTTAAGTTGAAGAACATAGGTTGATTGTGTTTCCAAGCAATTTCTTCCCCTCATTCAAAAGGGAGTAAACAATATAACCTACCTGAGAATTGGGAAAGCAAGTTGTGTGCAGCAGCTGGAACCCTTTTGCTGACTGCTTCATCAGTCAGAAGTATTTTTTGCGGACTAAAATTAAAAGCAATCTAGATGCAAGAGATTATGGAGAGCTTTTAATGTTTTTATTATGCTTTACCTTCAGAAAACTGCATTTTTGGTAAGCATTCTTTTTCAATTTGCAGTCTTGTACTTGGTGTGCTTTGAAATTGTGTGTTCTGATGGATGTTTTATGAGAAAGCCTCTGGTTTCTTGCATATGCTATCTACATTGTCAGTGACATGCTGCAAATGAAGAGCTGGACACACTTGATTGGAAAAAACAGGGCTGCAGCTTTATTTAGTACCAATAACGGCACAAGAGGAGCACGCAGACAGTTCTTGCCAAGCTCTCATCTTGCTGCTTCTCCTTGTGACCTTCCATCCAGTAAGTGTCCACTGCAACTTGAAAGGAGCCGCTGAATGTTGTGAGACCAAACCATCTCTTCATAGATGGCATTCTTTTTGTGTCAACATAGTGACACATTAACTTGTTCCATCTTTTACACTTGAACGCATTTAAATTAACATTTTCTGAAAGTCATCTCATTTTTTGTGAATGTCTTGTCAAACGTGCAGCTAAGTTCAGTGATAAAAAGATTGTGATCTTACAAATACCATTTCTGCCACAACATTCTGTATGTTAAAATGTAGCAACCTCCTGTGAGCAGGTGCCCGGGAACATTTACTTTTTTCCCAAAGTATTTCCTGATAATAGGATGGTTAACTGTTGCCAAGCTGATCACAGGAAGCATGAAAAAAAATCATGTTTGTGCATCAAGCACAATCTGTTTGGAAGTTCTCATTTTCGAGTTTTTCTAAATCATGGACATGTCTGAAAAATAGAGGGTCAAACCCTGAATTTGTCTTCATATATCTGCTCATCAGCCGGTCCAGCATAAACTGCTGGTCAGATGCATAATGCTCAAATTTCATCATCCAATCTTTTGAGATTATTACTGCTGTTTGTGTTTGTCTGCCTCATGTTCCTTCTTGTGTTTGTTCATTCATCTGTAAGCTGTGAGATAAATTATAAAATCATAGAATCATAGAATAGTTAGGGTTGGAAAGGACCTTAAGATCATCCATTTCCAACCCCCTGCCATGGGCAGGGATGTCTCACACTAAACCATGTCGCCCAAAGCTCTGTCCAGCCTGGCCCTGAACACTGCCAGGGATGGCGCATTCACAACTTCCCTGGGCAACCCATTCCAGTGCCTCACCACCCTTACAGTAAAGAACTTCTTCCTTATGTCCAATTTAAACTTCCCCTGTTTAATTTTGAACCCATTACCCCTTGTCCTATCACTACAGTCCCTAATGAAGAGTCCCTCTCCAGCATCCTTACAGGCCATCTTCAGATACTGGAAGGCTGCTATGAGGTCTCCATGCAGCCTTCTCTTCTCCAGGCTGAACAGCCCCAAATTTCTCAGCCTATCTTCATACATGGGAGGTGATCCAGCACCTTGATCATCCCTGTGGCCCTCCTCTGGACTTGTTCCAACAGTTCCATGTCCTTTTTATGTTGAGGACACCAGAACTGCACACAATACTCCAGGTGAGGTCTCACAAGAGCAGAGTAGAGGGGCAGGATCACCTCCTACGACCTGCTGGTCACACTCCTTTTGATGCAGCCCAGGATACAGTTGGCTTTCTGGGCTGCTAGCACACACTGAAGCTGTCTCATGTTCATTTTCTCATCGACCAGCACCCCCAAGTCCTGCCCAGGGCTGCTCTGAATCTCTTCTCTGCCCAACCTGTAGCTGTGCCTGCGATTGCTCCGACCCAGGTGTAGGACCTTGCACTTGTCATGGTTAAACTTCATGAGGTTGGCATCAGCCCACCTCACAAGCGTGTCAGGGTCCCTGTGGATGACATCCCTTCCCTCCAGCATATCAACCGAACCACACAGCTTGGTGTCATTGGCAAACTTGCTGAGGGTGCACTCAATCTCACTGTCCACGTCACTGACAAAGATGTTGAGCAAGACCAGTCCCAACACCGATCCCTGAGGGACACCACTCATTACTGTTCTACTGGACATTGGGCTGTTGACCGCAGCTTCTTGAGTGAGGCCATCCAGCCAGTTCTTTATCCACAGTGTGGTCCACATATCAAATTGATGTCTCTCCAATTTAGAGATGAGGATGTCGTGGGAGACAGTGTTGAATGCTTTACACAAGTCCAGGTAGCTGATGTCAGCTGCTCTACCCGTCTCCATCAGTTCCCTAGCCCCATCATAGAAGGCCACCAAATTGGTCAGGCAGGATTTCCCCTTAGTGAAGCCATGCTGGCTGTCACCAAGCACCTTGTTGTTTTTCATGTGCCTTAGCATGCCTTCCAGGAGAATCTGCTCCAAGATTTTGCCAGGCATGGAGATGAAACTGACTGATCTGCAATTCCCTGGGTCATCTATTTTCCCCTTCTTGAAAATGGGGGTTATATTTCCCTTTTTCCAGTCATCAGGAACTTTACTTGACTGCCATGATTTCTCAAATACGATGAACAGTGGTTGAGCAACTTCATTCACCAGCTCCTTCAGAAGGAAGTTGTCTTCCATGCAACCAGGGAACCTCCTGGATTGCTTGTGCCAGGCCATATCGTCCCTCCAACAGATATCAGAGTGGTTGAAGTCCTCCACTAGGACAAGGGCCTGTGAGCGTGAGGCTGTTCCTATCTGTCTATAGAGTGCTTCATGCACAGAGTCCTCTTTATCAGGCGGATCAAGATCAGATCCCCACAGTAATGTCCTCCACTGCTGTTCTCCCTCTGACCCTGACCCACAAACTCTCTGTTAACTGATCACCTGTCCCCAGACAGGGTTCCATACTCTCCAGCCTATCACTGACATAGAAACTCCATCTCCCTGTCTACTGGGCCTGTCTTTTCTAAAGAGCCTGTAGCCTTCCATTCCAACACTCCACTCATAGGAGCCATCTCACCATGTTTCTGTGATGTCAATGATATCAATCCCTGTAGACATGCACACATCTCTAATTTCTCTTTTTTATTACCCATACTAAGGGTGTTTCTATAGAGGCATCTGAGCTGAGCTCCAAATGAAGCTGGCTCATTGGCTGGAGTGGCTGAAATATCTCTGCACCTCTCTGAGCATTTGTTATAGGTGTTGGTACTGACTGGGTGTATTGGGATGGAATAATGCCCCCCTCCCCCCAACACATCAAGTTTAAAGCCTCCTTGACCAGTCTGGCAAGCCATCTACCAAAACCACTCTTCCCATACCAGCTCCATCAGCCTTCAGTAGACCTGGCCTCCCAAATTGACTTCCATGTTCTAGATACCCAAACCCTTGACTATGGCACCACTCTTCTAACCATTTATTAACCTGGCCAATCCACCTTGCCTTTTTGAGGTCCTCTCCTGTATCCTGGAGAATTGATGAAAAGACCATCTGAGCTCCGGAGCCCCTAACAAGCTCTCCCAGGGCTCTGTAGTCTTTCTTACTGTTCTCCAGGCTACTGGTATCTATATCACTAGCACCCACATGGATCACTAGAAGTGGTAATAGTCAGTGGGACTTACTAGAGCAGGCAGCATCTCTGCAGCATCCCTGATCTGAGCCCCTGGTAGGCAACACACCTCCCTTGAGACTGGGTCAGGCTGACAGATGGGTGCCTTTGTTCCTTTCAAAGTAGAGTCCCCTACTACTACGACCTGCTGCTTTTTCCTGGCAGCACCAGTAATGACCTTGCAGCACAAGTAGTGAATTTAAATTAAATTAAAGACCTTACTACTAAAGCATTCCTCGCTCATCAAGAAGGATATGGAGCAGTTCAGGAAACGGAGCAGCACAAGTACGTGGTGCTACTGAAGAGGCATTGGGTGACTCCTGGCTGTGGTGGTGCGTTTCTCTGTCGTGGGGTGGCTGGATGGGTCTCCAGGGAGTGTAGTGAGTTGGCAGCAGGAAAGTGATCACAAACCTCACTCATTTCACCTGTTGAAGAAGAGGCAACGTAAACTTGATCATCAGTGTGCAGAAGCTAATACAGGCTGGTCAGGCTCTGAGGTGAAAACACCCCTTTGGTGTGAGTCTTGGTCTGTTGTGCCCTCTCTCCAGGCGTGTCTTTTAGAATAGTTCCTTGCAGGCTGTGCTGTCAAAGTCATGTTCTGTAGTTCTGGCCATTGTGTCTTTCAACGCTGCCAGTTACAACTTCCCCCCCCCCCCCCCCCCCCAAAGAAGGAGAAAAATGACTGCTATAGCTGAACCCAGGACAGAATCACATTGAGAAGAAGTAATCAGAACATGGAGAACGCATCCTAGACATCCTAGACATCAGACAAGCAATCAGTTACCTATACGGAATCAAATATTGAACTACAGCCACACAGGGAAGAATACAAGTGCCTGTGGTGGTCTGTAATGTTCTTAAAAATGGTCTCTTGCAGAAATGCTCACCACCATTGACCATTATTCAAAGAAAATAAGCTTTTCAAAAAAACAAGCAAAACCCCAGAAAACCCAAACCACAAAAACCCCCAAACCACAAAAACCCCCAAACCACAAACCCATTCACCAAAATCGAATTATTTTCTTGCAAGAAAAGAGTCTTTATTTTGTCAACTGCTCAGTGAAAGGGGGAGAAAGGTTAGCATCAGTATTCTTGGTATGCACTAGAACTACTCAGAACATCGTCTGATGGATGTTACGTATTTCTGAAGTGTTGTGTCACATGGGAAGTGATTCTTTAATAAACAGGAAAGCCATAAAATTAACTTCTGTCTGGTGTGTTGTAATTAGGATCTGTGAAAAAGTGATGCACATGCCTAATGTTCCTCATTGAGTAGTGCAGCTGAAGCCAAAGCCCCGGAAAAGATGTGGAAATCTGTACAGGACCAAATTTTCAGAATTCTCAGAATCTTCTTGTTTGTTGCTTGCATCCAAACAAATATTTAGCCTAGCATTTTGAAGGCACAGGTGAAAAAAAAAATCTGAATTTTAGTGGCATTTATAGATATTCAGAAGAATTCATTGTCAGCATTAATTTTTGCGTTCTAATATTAGTGGATTAAGTTTGCCATACCTGTGATTGAAAATCAAATGGTCATCATACATCATAAGAAATTTCCTTAATAGAAACAAAAATGTGAACAAGAAGAGAAAGTAACTCCCTTCTGAAGCCCTTTATTTGGATTTTCTTTTTCATGCTCCTTTATATCCTGTTCCCTTCTCAGGGATTTGTTTCTTCTTCTAACTTCCTCTTCTCTGCTCTTTCCTTTCAGATCATGCCAATAAAGGGGAAAGGCAAGATTTCAAAACAAACAAACAAACTGGAGTCCATTGATTCTATTGCTGCTGCTTTCAGTATCAGTTTACTCGCAGCAGAGCCATTTTTTAAGTTGTGGAGTTTTAATGAATTCAAAACAAAGGAAATCCAAACAAAGCAAGAATTGAGGGGCATACTTAGTAGACCTTATTTGCTGCTTTTGTTGAAAAGAGAAATTAAGGCTGAACTGGAGGCACAGGTCTCTGCAGTGCCAGGTCTATTGCAGGTCCAATACCAGGCCTGATGATTTTTTGTCTGTGGTGTTTGTTAGAGCTGACAGTGCTGTGCATGAAGCATGTTGAGCCCTTAACAGTGCTCATGGAGTGTCTGTCCTGTGTCAGTCACCAACAACCTTCCAGCACATTGGCAAAATCCCATGGGAGCTCTGTCTTGTCGCCCTGTGTAAAAACAGGATGCTCAAGTCTCTGAAGTAGTGAAAATGAAAAAAAGTAATTGAGAAATCCTCAGGCACGGGGAGAAAACATGGAATGTTTGAGTGGGAAAGAGTTGTAAAAGCTACAATCATTTTGGATCTGAATGCTGTTTTGTTGAAAGACTCCATGAAAGTAGATATGTGAATTAGTGAGCCCACATCTGAGTTCTCACTCCTCCTTCGTTTTCTAGCTGTAGTAATTAGCAGCATTAAATGTGCCCAGGTCTGCGGTAGTTGAGAATTGACTGTTAAGGCAGCCCCTCTGTTACTGAGCTGAGTTGGTGGGAGCCAAACTTCTCATAGAAACTGGCCAAGAGAAGGGCAACATGAAGTAATTTATGTAAAATTTATGTAATTTTATTCCATAATGCTGAAACACCATTATGGAATAAAAGGTAAAAATAATCTTACCCCTCAAGTATCCCTTCTACCTGTTGATCCAGAGAGGAAAATCAATATGGGATCTAGATTGTGAGGCTGAGATAGGAAAATAATAACAGTAGGATATTGAAAAACATACTACTTATAATGCAAAATATGGCAGCTAATATCAGGGACTTTTAATGACTGTTTCTTGTTCCCTTTTCAGTATGGAAAAATGGAAGCTGGTATATGGGAATACTGCAAAATAAAGTACTGATTAAAAATACTGGCATAAATAAGCCCAGGTGGTGCAAGAAGTTACAGACATACAAACACAGATCACAGATGGTCATACATGTCTACCTGAATTCCATTTGGGTGCACAGCATGACTTTTTTAGGAGAAAAAAGTACACTTGTATTTTTAGGGGCTTTTAAAAAAGGTATTTTATGATTCTGCTTGGTGAGTCATTCCAGTGGGTTGTTCCCTTCACTCTTAAGAACTGGAGGGTATGCTGATTATTAATGCCTACTTTTGCATCTGCATATTGGATTATCTGTGCCTTTATGTGTTGTGCTGCAGATTTTTGTTTCTCCACTTTCATTTTCCCTGCAACTATGTACGGAGATTCATCTCACCTAACATTAACCTAATATTGTTATCCAAGAATGAGGTGGTAGTCTAAGAGAGTTATTTGGACACCCTGTTTACTCAGAGAGAAACAAGCACCTCTCAGAGGTAGTTCATCCTGGCAGTGACCAGGATTACACTGGATGACTGATTTAGGTGAAATACTTTTTACTTCAAAGTACTGCTTTTATTTTCACAAGTAAAATACTTCTTAAGGTCTTTGAGTCATTTACTCTGCAGTTTTTCAAACCTTTTATCATTCTCTAGCATCATCTTTGTCCTTTCTTGTTTGTTCAAATTATTCCCGATTTGTGATCACCCTAACTCTGCAGTGTTTGATGTAGTGACTGGTCAAGTGCCATCAGAAGGCAAAATCTTCCAGATCCTGTCTTTTTTTTTTTTTGGCTTTAATACTTCTGTGCTGTATTCCTCCCTTTTATCCTCAAAGATTGTATTAGCCTTAGCAGAATCCTCCCTCTGTGATTTCTATCTCTCTGATTGTTTTTTTTCCATATGCTACAAATAAATCAAAAACAAAGCAAAGGAAGTTAATTTGAAAATATGACTTTTCAAACTATATCAAAGCTAAAAATCTTTCTGCTTTCACTCAGTGCAACATCCAGTTTTGTTCTTAGCATTTCCCTCTGTGCTTTTTGTAAATGCCCTGTCTGTGAAATAAAGCTGTGAGTATTAATATCTAAAATTAGGCTGGAATTATATTTGGCTTTTTTTCTAGATACTTATATGCTAGTACAGAATCATAGAATGGTTCAGGTTGGAAAGAACCTTAAGATCATCTAATTCCTACCCTAATGTGTAGTAAAATAGGCATTTACAGTAGGTTCTGTGTATTCAATACTAACAAGCAATATGGGATTTTAAAAAATACATTTGTTAAGTTTCAGTTTGATGGATGTTGGTTCTTACACTGCTGTAGCACTGAGTCATGTCAGAGGCATGATTTATAGAGCTATCTGTGAGCACTGTTTTGACAGAGTGGTCTGAGTATTTGGGACAAAAAAACCCAATGACAGGATCCAGCAAGCTCAAAGTACCTGATAAGTGGTTGTGTACTATTGTAGACTGGGAATGTATTGGGAATGTATTGGGAATTGGATCCAGCCTGTCCAGAATTGATCTGGAAAGTCATTTGGACTCCGTGTTTACTCAGAGGAGAGAAATAAACACATTTCAGAGGTTACCCGGGTAACTATAGACCGGTCAGCCTCACCTCCATCCCTGGGAAAGTGATGGAACACCTTATCCTTGGTGCCATCTTAAGGCATATCAAGGATAAGAGGGTTATGAGGGGCAGTCAACATGGCTTCACCAAGGGGAAATCATGTTTGACCAATCTCTTAGCCTTTTATGAGGAAATAACATGGTGGATGGATGATAGCAGAGCGGTGGATGTGGTCTACCTTGACTTCAGCAAAGCATTTGACACAGTCTCCCACAGCATCCTCACGGCTAAATTGAGGAAGTGTGGACTGGATGATCAGGTAGTGAGGTGGACTGTGAACTGGCTGAAGGAGAGAAGCCAGAGAGTTGTAGTCTATGGGGCGCAGTCTAGTTGGAGGCCTGTAACTAGTGGAGTGCCTCAAGGGTCAGTACTGGGACCGGTCTTATTTAATATATTCATCAACGATTTAGATGAGGGAATTGAGTGTACTGTCAGCAAGTTTGCTGATGACACTAAGCTGGGAGGAGTGGCTGACACGCCAGAAGGCTGTGCTGCCATCCAGCGAGACCTGGACAGGCTGGAGAGTTGGGCAGGGAATAACTGGATGAAATATAACAAGGGAAAGTGTAGAGTCCTGCATCTGGGCAGGAACAACCCCAGGTTCCAGTATAGGTTGGGAAGCGACCTGTTAGAGAGCAGTGTAGGGGAGAGGGACCTGGGGGTCCTAGTGGACGACAGGATGACCATGAGCCAACACTGTGCCCTTGTGGCTAAGAAGGCCAATGGCATCCTGGGGTGTATTAGAAGGGGGGTGGTTAGTAGGTCGAGAGAGGTCCTCCTTCCCCTCTACTCTGCCCTGGTGAGACCCCATCTGGAATATTGTGTCCAGTTCTGGGCCCCTCAGTTCAAGAAGGACAGGGAGCTGCTGGAGAGAGTCCAGCGCAGGGCAACAAAGATGATTAAGGGAGTGGAGCATCTCCCTTATGAGGAAAGACTGAGGGAGCTGGGTCTCTATAGTTTGGAGAAGAGGAGACTGAGGGGTGACCTTATAAGTGTCTATAAATATATAAAGGGGGAGTGTCACGAGGATGGAGCCAGGCTCTACTCAGTGGCAAACAATGATAGGACAAGGGGTAATGGGTCCAAACTGGAACACAAGAGGTTCCACTTAAACTTGAGAAGAAACTTCTTCTCAGTGAGGGTGACGGAACACTGGAACAGGCTGCCCAGGGAGGTTGTGGAGTCTCCTTCCCTGGAGACATTCAAAACCCGCCTGGACACATTCCTGTGTAACATTATCTAGGTGTTCCTGCTCTGGCAGGGGGATTGGACTAGATGATCTTTCGAGGTCCCTTCCAATCTCTAGCATACTGTGTGTATACTGTGTGTGTGTAATTCATCCTGGCAATGTCTGGATTAGACTGGATGGCTGATCTAGGTGGAATGCTTTCTACTTCAAAGCACTGCTTTTATGTTTATAAGTAAAGTACTTCTCAGGATCTTTGAGTCTTTTACTCTGCAACTGTCCAGAATTGATCTGGACAGGCTGGATTGGTGGGCTGTGGCCAATGGTATGAGTTTCAGCAAGGCAAAGTGCCGGGTCCTGCACTGAGGTCACAACAACCCCACACAATGCTACAGTCCTGGGGAAGAGTGGGTGGAAAGCTGGTCATGGAAAAGGATCTGAGGTTGCTGGTTGATGGAGCTGAACATGAGCCAGCTTGTGCCAGTCAGCCAAGAAGGCCAACGGCATCCTGGCCTCTATCAGCAATAGTGTGGCAGCAGGGCCAGGGCAGTGATCATCCCCCTGTACTGGGCACTGGTGAGGCCACAGCTTGAATCCTGTGTTCAGTTCTGGGCCCTCACTACAAGAGAGACATTGAGGTGTTGGGGCGGGTCCAGAGAAGGGTGATGGAGCTGGTGAAGGGCCTGGAGCACAAGGGTAATAAGGAATGGCTGAGGGAACTGGGGGATTTAATCTGGAGAAGAGAAGGCTCAGGGGAACCTTATCACTCTCTGCAACTGCCTGACAGGAGAATGGAGCCAGGAGGTGGCTGGTCTCTGCTCCCAGGAAACAAGGCATAGGACAAGAGGAAACAGCATCAAGCTGCACCAACAAAGGTTTAGATTGGATATTAGGAGCAATTTCTTCACAGAGAGGGTGTTCAGACATTGGAACAGGCTGCCCAGGGCAGTGGTGGGGTTATTGTCTCTGGAACTGTTCACAAACCGTGTAGATGAGGCTCTTACTGACATGGTTTAGTGGTGGCCTTTAAGGTGCGGGGGCAACTGTTTGACTTGATGACCTTAAAGGTTTTGTCCAACCTAGCTGATTTTGTGATTCTGTGATTTCCTTGGGTTTGGAATCAATGCATTTTTAAATTTTGGTGGAGTGGTTTCAATTTGTACAAGATGCATTGAGTGTGGGAGTGTTAGTGAATCTAACTGGGCTCAGCTATGTGACATTGTGCTGCTGCTGTATTTGTTTGCAATTTCATTTCCACGTTTTAAAATCTAGTTAGCTGTCTCACAGGACCTGGAAACAGACTGAAGGCTGTGTAAATGGGACTAGATGAAATTCCATCAAAAGTCAGTATTTTCTATGTTTTGGGGCCTGGATGTATTAACATTTATGGCATAACTAAAAAATTAACCATTAAATGGGGGAACTGGGAAGTTTAGGTCCAACACTGGCAAGGTCTAAGTGTCATCTTTGTGTCTTTGTATGTCTGACATGACTCAGGATTCGCTTGGAATGATGGTGGTCATAATATGTGAATTTGATATTAGATAGAAAAATTGCTGAGTCCAGAATACCCAATCTGGGAGTGAAAATCATTTCTCCCTGCTGAGCACTGAATAACTGTGAATTAAGATGCATGCCCTGGTGCAGCTGAAGAATCCAAAATCTGTCATAATCCACTACTAAACCCTGCCAGTTTTGCTGCCTTCTGTAATAAAGCACCACAGCCCTGGCCAAATGGAGGGACTGCCAAAGAATTGCAGTGAGTGGAGGGGCTAGCTGTGTCTCAGCTGCAACAGGGCAGGGGCAATTGCTTGGTTTGAAAAAAAACTATGTCCTCTTGCATCCCACCCACTTTTATCTCTACAGCAGCAGGAAGGCAGCAGGAGTCAGGGGAGGGAGGAGAGTGCTGGACGCTGCACGGAGCAGAGGGAGGAGTAGGAGAGGGGAATGCATAATGCGTGAGTGACAGAGTGTGCAGGCGGCTGACTGAGTCCACAAGACGCGGATGTCCACATCCCCGGGTCTAGGTAGGTTTGCTGTCTCTCTGTTGTGGTGGTTGTTGCTTTGGAAGCATCCTGTATCCACTGGAGGGATGCTAAG